ACAAATTTATAATCTATGCCAATTATGGGAATTAAATATATGTTGATAGTGTAAACAAGCCTCAAGAGAGGGTACTGTGGGGTATCAAAGCAATCAAAGCAGTTGACTGCATGGATTAAAAAAAAAAAACAAACTCTATAGCAGTTTTTGCTAAAACACAGAAACATAAAAACTTATTATCATGGGTTTATCAACAAACAAAAAAACTTAAATAAAACAATTTTATGATCCAGAACTAAATAGAATTAATCTCAATTAAATCAATTAAAGCTGAACTCCATGAGGATAAACACCAATTAATACAGTTTGTATATTAAATAAAATATTTAAATGAAAAAAAAAGGGTAAGTACCTGACTTTGTATTGATACTGATCTCCTGTTAGAAAGTAGCACACAGACTAGGATAATGAGGATTATAGCACACAGACTAGGATAATGAGGATTAAAGCATAAATTCACCTTTTAACAAAAAGTAATAAATGCACATTTTTTTTTGCAGGTTTAAAAAATTTGCAGTTTTTTTTTTGTTTTGTTTCTGGAGCCTCTAAAGGATTGCACCAGCGATCAGCAGATTGCTGTTGCCGTGCAGGTCTCCTGCAGACCTGTGTCACTGTGTGCCCATTCACCTTGTACGGACAAGCAGATACTACTGATACGGAGACTCATTGAACTACCAAGGCGCTCCACAGCGCCGTGATAGTTAATTGAGAACTACAAGCCGACAGCAGCAAAGGATGTCAGAACTTGTAGTGTTCTCATTCACAGAATACTGTGAGTGAGTGATCTGGCCAGATGGGCAGAGCCTCGCACAGCTGCGTTTTTTAAAAATTCTGACAGCTAGCAATTGTGATCCCCTGCTAGCTGTCACAACGGGGATTGGGGGGATGCGGTGGCCGGTTCATTTGTAACATGTTACATCCTGAATATGGGAGTAACATGAAACATGTTATGGATGGTGAGGCAGAGGGTTAAAGTGGTAGTAACAAAGTTGAAGGAATATCTCCTAAATGTGTATCATCACCTGCGCATGTGCATTGTTCACTGAAGGGACTACATGCCATCTCTTCAGAGTGCTGTGCAGTGACTGGCTCCCATGCACATGCGTGGGTAGTGATATAATAGCAGCGTGGCCATTCAAACGGCCAGAGCCCGTAAACCCAGAAGGAAGATCGAGTGAAGATGGAAGCCCTGTCAGCTGTGAAAGCATGCCGCTGGAGGGCTTCTTTTAAGGTACATCTTTCATAATGTGCTAGTATGTGATATATACTAGCACATTTTGATATTTCCTTGCAGGGGGAAAGTTTAAAACTTTTTTGGGGGGGGAAGTTTACTACCGCTTTAACATTCTGGTCTGTTTTTAACCAAGCTGTGCTTCCACAGAGGTTATGGATCTTACTGCGTTGTCCGTCAGGAGTGCTACAATCACAAAACTAGCATTATAGACTTACACATTCTTTGGCAGGTAAAATAAATCCCATGGGAATATTTCAATTTGACAGGTAAAATAATTCCCATGGGAATATTTCAATGCTTGCCTGGAATTCAGCTTTAATTAGTATTTGTAAACAGTAAAGTAAAACTGGCGGATTTATGAAAAATTCAGAAAAGAAAGTAAAGATGCTTCACAGAACAATCTCAATGTAAGTATAAATGATAACTGATCCTGTGGAAACAACCCTTTTTTAATTCCTCCCTATTTTCATAAATCATAATACTATATGATAAAACAATTTCTTTGCTAAAGTGGATTTAACGTGATATAACGACTTTAGGTCTGCCATTACCCATGGATGACACTTCTTCTCCATGGCCAAGGGTGGATTCTATGTCCATCTTCTTAAGCAACCAATTGCATAGAACCTACCCTTGGCTGGGTCTAACCAGGAGGAAGGCCTCTCCAGTGACCAATAGTACTTCAGTGTTGGAAAAGCTCTTTCTTCGTGGTAGCAGGAAGAAGGAGTGGCAGACCTAACGTAAATTTTTTGCATTGGTGTTAGAGATGTTTTTATCATAGCTGGCAGAATTAACCTAAATATCACAAAGACTACTCCAGTCCTCAAAGCTCACCCATTAGATTACAAAGGTACACATATATAGTTTCATTTGAAGTATATTTCTTTTACAAATTTACAAAATTGTAAAAACTACACCACAGCTATTCTTGCATCTAGAGAGGAAGACTGCAGGAGTTAATTAAAAGTCAAATTTTAACAAAGAAAAAAAAAGTGATTCAGGTAGAAACCAACTGTTCATGACAAACACAATGGGGGGGGGGAGTATCAATACTGGAGCAGCTATGCATGGAAATCAATCTGTTCTAGCTTCCACTTATTCAACTAAGCTTTGAGAATGAAATCTGGAAACTGATTGATTGCCTTGTACAACTGTTCCAGATGCTGTCTGCTCCAGTTTTGATAAATTCCCCTAAATAACCAGTAAGAATTCAGAAAAACTGGAGCAGCCAGAATCTGTGCATGGCAACCAACCAGGTTCTGTATTTCAATTTCAAAGTATAAAACAGGAACTAAAGTCCCAGATTTAAAGGCTGCAAGCAGGTATGCTCTTTATTGCAGAGGAGACATGCAATATTACTTCTGCAATAAAACAAACCTACCTGCCTGCCTGCTTACAGTGTTCTTTGGAATGCACACTGAGCAGTGCATGTGCAGCTCATTTTACATTTCAGCACAGATCCTGTGTGCTGGGATGACTGCCAATGAAGATGGCAGATTGGCACCAAGAAGAAGCTGGGTAGAAGATGCTAGAGCCAGCAAGGTAAGTATTGGGACTTTACTTCTGCTTTCACTGAACAAGCTGAAGATAGATCTGAAGCAGATGTGCATTACAACCAACTCGCTTCTATCTTCAGTTTGTTCAGTTAAAGTGTTATTTCACCTAAAAAAATACCTTTACAGACACCCTCCCCCCACCTCCCAGTCCCTGCTATACTGGGATTGCCAAGCTGTCAGCACCCTGCAGCCGCTCCAGCGATCATGGTGACGTCGCTGACCAGTCAGAATCCATGTGATCTGTCCTGAAAGTGCTGATGGAGAGGAGGGAGAAGAGCAGGGATATGAAATCCCTGGAGTTCTGGAGCAGCTAGCAGCTGTGGGACTGCTGACAGCTCAGCAACCTGGTGGTAAGTACCAAGGGGGGGGGTGGGGAGATAGCCTGGTGTTAGGTGAACTATTAAGCTTTGAAAATGAAAAATAGATGCTGACTGCCATGCAAAAAAATACAACTGATTTGCTAACTTCCCCTCCTGTATGTATATCATTGAGTTGCCATGTTACAAGTACAATTCAAGTACATTAACAGCAATACAACATTTGTGATAATATTGAGCTACAGTACGTATACACTAAAAATAATAAAACCGCTTAAACTGAAGAAATCCACTGATTATCAGGTGACAGTGACCTGACAATCACAAAGATTAAAATGATTTATCCCTGTTGCCAGTAATGTGGCTAAGATATCCTGAAACTTAAAGTGTTTGTCAGAGATGACAATCACAAGTAATCCATGTAAGATATGTATGTATATCTTAATAATTACTGTGGATTGGATGTTCACTTCTCTGCTGCATATTTTAGTGATCTCACTGTAAAATGTAATGGCTGCCTGAGTGAATACAGTTGCCAGGGAAATTGCCACATTGTTCAAGGCACTTTCTGCATCTCGCCCTTTTCCTGTTCAGCATCACCGTATTTGAAAGACACTCTGAGCATAGTTTGTGCTTGGAATCTTAAACAGTGTGTTGTTGTGAATACAGCAGCCTCGTCTGTCAATGGCGTGACTCTAGACAGACATAAAACACACAAATTAATGTAGCCCTGTATTCATTAATAAATCCCAAGGGTATTTACTTTTTAAATTCAAGCATCCAAGTAAATTCCTAAGCTGTACCTGGTATCAGCTCCTTGCAATCCCTGTACAGCAGAACTCAGGCTGGGAGAGGCAAAAGTAGCATGAAAATCTCAGGACTATAATTTTTTTTTTGATGTGCATTTAGCTGTTTGCTTGGTGTTCGCATCAACAACAGCTGCACGTTACTCACCATCATGTACAAACAACAGCTTTAACTTTCATGTCAGTAATTTTGCACCTATTTTCAACTGTATTTTAATTTCATAACAGCCTTTGTGGATTTAGCACTGAATTTATCATGTATAAAGCTTAATCTCCCTGTTTCAGCATTCTAACTAACTAGAAAAGCCACATTTCTAACAAGCAGAAAAGTATTAAGAGTTCTCTGTGAAACTGTACATTACTGTGCTATCCCACCTAACACATTTCCAGTACTTTGCATCGGTGTAAGACTCATATGGGCATATTGGATTACAGATTGGTCAAACAGAAGAACAACTGGCATGAAATACACGGGGAGGGAAAGGGAGTTAAAATTACTTATACTTTACTATTAAAGTATAAATAAAAGTTAAAAAAAAAAAAGTAAAAATTTCAGTAAAATGTATTCATAAACACTGCAAGTATTTATGAAGAAATTAAATGTCAGGATTACATCTAATAACCAGCATGAAACAAAACCAAACAAATGACAAATAGTTCTATATCTTATTGCAGAATTCCAGTCAAAACCTTCATTTAGTTTTAGGTAGAATGGGTAAGAATTAAAATGTCTATAATTGATCCACATTGCAACCTATGGTATTTTTGAAGGATGAATAAAATTAAGCAGACTGGCCTGAGTTACACCAATTTCAAGTATGTTGATATGTTTTGTGCTATCCTTAGGTACTATTGTTTCAGTAGTCGTTATGGTTTTTTGGCATGTAAAAGGGACTATGACTATCAAACACAGTCAATATGTTGCCACTTTAAAATGCAATAAGGGTAAGTTGCGATATTCCTCATTGCATTTTAAGGTCCTTTGTTGTTTCCTATATACACGTAAATTTCATACATATTTGTTTCACAACCAAGCTTTGGGGTCTTAAATAGGCTTCATAGCACTCATGGCATTTTTGGTGTCTCCTTAGAGGCTGAGGCTGGTTTCCAGCTTTTCTTCTAGCTTCTGTATCTTCTCTTCAGAGCTGCGGTCTGGCAGCAGGACTTCCACAGTGAAGCTTATCTTCTTGGCATGAATGAAGCTGTATGTATTGTCAAAGCGAAGCACATCTAAACAGGAAGCGGGGGACCAGACAAGCAAAAATGTTAGTGATCACATCACTTACTGATTACATAAGAACTCATTAGTGAATAACGTTGACCATAGACAAGCAAATGTTTCTCTGAAAATGCTAGACATGAACATCTGCTTTTCCAAAACCTGCTACTGCCTCTTGTGCATCTCAGTTAACAGACAATATTAATGCTGTTAACATTTTCCTTCCCTCTTCTAACTGAGCGGAAAAATGTTTGCCCAGGTCACACCCATATTAAATAACAAGTAGCCCTAATAGCCCAATCTTTGTCCAAATGTCATACTGGGAAGTGGAAGTGTATTTTGGGCCAAGATTTCATATTCCTGATATGTGTATGTTAAAAAGGTATCCTATTCTTGTATTGCTTCCTTTGTGTGAAATACCTGGTGATCCTGCTAGTCTCTTTGCTTTCCTATTTCAAAACTGACTACACTAGGCCTAGAAGCAGATCCATCCCAATGTGGTCAGTTTTCTGGCTGTGCTGGGAGAACAGTCTGCTGATCCTCCAATGGTTAGACTTGTGCTGAAACACCCCCCTGCACAGCCATTCACTGGGAAGATAAGAGTACAGCTGTTTCTCCACCCCCAGCTTTCCAAGCTCATTATGCTTCTGAGAACAAAGGTCATGTGATCACGTACAAAAAAAAATATAATAAAAAAAAGGTACTTAATATACATATCAATTCTCCTAGGCACACACAGCGCACATTTTGAAGGAACTTGGCAAGTAGGTTGTTCCAAACACCTTGGAGAACTAACCACAAATCTTCTGTGGATGTAAGCTGCCTCAAATTCTTCTGTCTCTTCAAGTAATCCCAGACAGACTCCATGATGTTGAGATCAAGGCACTGTGGGGATCAAACCTTCACTTTCAGGACCCCTTGTTTTCTTTACACTGAAGACAGTTCTTAAAGTGGAACTTCACTCTCTAAATCAACATTGACGATTTTGAATCCCTATGCTTAGCATTCGTAGATAGGAAAGTACTGTATATCGTATTTACTTGCTTTAAACTGATTTTTTTTTTTATTTATTCAGTTACTTCCTAGTTTCCATGCCTAGGCAAATTATACCAACATCCCAGGAGTCTTCAGGAGGGGTTTTCTCAGTTACGCACACATCCTGTCTGCATGCCTGAGCTAAGGGCAGATGGACTCCAGGAAGTAAATGCTACATGAATCATCTGCCCTTACTCAAGATGGCCACAGCCAGAAATGCTAAGGGGTGTTTTTCTAAGTTATTTCTCAAAAAAAAAAAAAAAAGCATAGAGACATGGAGGAGTTTGCTTTGAATATTAAAAATTAATTAAAATAGCACTTTTGGTTTGTGGTGCTCAGATACAGTGTAGTTACACTTTAATGATATTGGCTGCATGTTTGGGGTCATTGTCCTGCTGCAGAATAAATTTTGGACCAATTACATGCCTCCCTAATGGTATGAAATGATGGAAAAGTATCTGCCTTTATTTCTTAGCGTTGAGGACATCATTAATTGAACAACTTTGAGGACCATAGATGCAGTGGTCGTCCAAGGAAACTTAATGCAGCAGATGAAAGAAACATCATGCTTACTTCCCTTTGATATTGGAAGATGCCCAGCAGTGTCTTCAGCATAGAACTGGTGGAAACCAGTAGGACCCAGGTACACCCATCTACCATCTGGAGAAGTCTGGCTAGAAGTAGTTTTCATGGAAGAATTGCGTCCAAAAAGCCATACTTTCTATATGGAAACAAGGCTAAGCGACTCAACTATGCATGAAGACATATGAACCGGGGTGCATAAAAATGGCAGCAGGGGCTCTGGACTGATGAGTCAAAATTTGAAATATTTGTCTGTAGCAAGAGGCAGTTTGTTCGCCGAAGGGCTGGAAAATGGTACAACAATGAGTGTCTGCCGGTAACAGTAAAGCATGGTGGAGGTTCCATGCAAGTTTGGGGCTGCCTTTCTGCAAATGGATTTGGAGATTTGGTCAGGATCCATTATGTCCTCGATGCTGAGAAATACAGGCAGATACTTTTCCATCATGACCCCAAATATATAGCCAATGTCATTAAGAACTATCTTCAGAAAAAAGAATCCTGGAAGTGATGATTTAGCCCCCACAGACAGGGCCGCCGATAAGGGGGTACCACAGGGCCTCCTGTAAGGGGGGCCCAGGCAGCAGCTTCAAGTGTTATTTATTCTTCCCTGGTTCCTCACGGCTATTGGGTATTCTAATACATATTCCCTGGGCCCCTCAGTTTACTCAAAGGGGCCAAGGAGGCTGCAGCATCAAGGGACATTTTTTTCTAAATCGGCATACAGGCAGATTAAATACAAGCCAATGCCACATTTGCGATAACAAAATTAAAGTTCCGTCCCACAGTCTCAGTCCCTGGGGGTGCCTACATCCACAAAAGATCTGTGGTTAGTTCTCCAAGATGTGTGGAATAACCTACTTGCCGAGTTCCTTCAAAAAACTGCTGCACAAGCACTGTGAGAGAGATTTACTAAAACTGGAGAGTGAAAAAATCTGGTGCAGCTCTGCAGAGAAACCAATCAGCTTCCTTTTTGTTTGAAGCTTAATTGAACAAGCTGAAGTTAGAAGCTGATTGGCTATCATGCACAGCTTCCAGATTTTTTTCACTCTCCAGTTTTAGTAAAATCGACCCCTGTGTGTACCTAGGAAAATTGATGCTGGTTTGAATCCAAAAGATAGTCACACTAAATATTGATTCGATTTGTATTTGTCTTATGTTCATTTGCTTTCCATTTTGTTAATTGATAAAAACACTTCAATTTCTGAAAGCATTCTTAATTTACAGCATTTGTCACAAGTGCCTATAACTTTTGCACAGATATATATATATATATATATATATATATATATATATATATATATATATATATACATACATACATATACACACGTTTTGACTTTCATTTCCATTTTAAACTGAATGGGTTGATTTGCAAGGTAAGGGTTCACATATATTTAAAAATGTAAAAATGTTAAAAAGTGGACTTTAGCATTATGTTTAGTCTTGCACATTTGTATAGGCTTAGCTGTCCTGAAATTGGTTACTCCCTCACCGCAGAATGGGAGCTTCTCACATTAGAAGCTGCAGCAAGTCAGATACAGCCTGCCTCACTTCCTGGCTGGAGGGCATCCAGCGTCATCTATTTCTTTCCTCCCCAGCCATACTGTCCCTGGCCTGTTATTAGCCATAACTGCTTTTTACTGCAAAAATAACCAATGAGAGCAGACATTAAAAACTGTCAACGTGTCATAGTTAAGTGAATAGAATCTGACATTTCCATCATTCACTATTGACTGTGCTTCCATTTACTGGTTTGCAGCCAACTGCATAGCTGTATGTATAACAGTTCACTCTTGGACTCACATGTTCCAGCCTCAGCGCAGGTCAAGCTTCCATCTTCTGGTACCATATGTGCATTGTACCTTTCATTTGGCACCACCTCAGCCATTTCTCCAGCCTTCTGTCTTTCCCCTGCCTTGGTCTTTCGAAAAACCCCAAACCCAATATCACCACCATCAGACTGGAATTGCCACCTGTGTAAACAAACATTTATTGGTTTGTGACAAATCAATAGATTTAGAGAAGTAATCTAAAATGCTTTTTAAGTCATGTGAATAGACAATGACTTCTGATCCACGGGTCCTTGCTACACAAGAAAAATACTGAAAGAGCTAAAAAACTGTACAATTTAACATTTATTCCCCTAATATTTCTCATTATGCCAACCTTATTGAACAGTGTATAATCACATTTACATCATCCAAGTTAAAATTATTTAGTGAATGGACTTTCCAGAATTAAAAAAAACAAAAATACTGTTGGAAATTTAGAAAATGAGAAAAATCTTCTATTCTGCTTCTTCAAATTTTTCCATCACTGCAGTGGAAAAAAAAAGCAGTTTGATCCACTCACAATTAGAGAATTGAACAAATGTACTTAAAATTTTCAAACAAAATTCTACTAATGGATGGCTAGTTTTCACAGGGACAGAGAGTCGTCACTGGGACAGGAAGACAAAGCCAGTAATAATAACCTGAGAAAGTTTCTTCCCATCCTCATTTACTGAAAAAAATAGTTTTGTTGTAGTCTCTGCCCTTCACTGCAGAGTTTTTTCATCACCCCCTCTCCCAAAAGGGGGGTGGGGGAAGCTCCAAAATGAGGACACGGGTAGTAAATAAAAACCATTAGAAGGTCCTTCCTTTCATTACTGAAAACAAATATGTCCAAAGTTGGGTTTTAAAGCATATATAAAAGGTATAACAAAGAAAAACAAATGCTTTATATCTCTGTAATACATGCCTAACCCTTTGAAAAAACCCAAGTACAGAAAAATGCCTGTTGACTGCCAAAAATATACTCAGCTCTTAATTTCCTACTGTGGGCTGACAACACACAGTACATTTGTATACTTTATTTATTTCAGTGGGCTGCCCAACCCACAAGAAACACAGGGAAATAAGTCCCCAATCCTTTTTTTTTAAAATCACACCGCACAGAACCACATGGTGCTATGTTTCCTGATGCGTGAGGGATACCATTAAGAATTAATGGCAATCCTGAGTGTCTTCAAAAGAGCAACATGGTTCTCTACATGTCAAGAACATGTGCAATTTTGAACCTGTTTGTGACATGCAGTAATATGATCGTAGCCTTTGTGGTTTCTGCCCTGCTTATTGTCTTATGTCACTCCCTCAGTCTTCTTATCCACAGTATAGGGACTAAAAGATCTGTAGTCCAAGGATAAAGAACATGGAGAGATCAGTGGTCTCTTTAAAGCAGAACTTCACCCAAAAAAGGAAGTTCTGCCCCCGCCTCCCCCATCCTCCCCCCCCCCCCGCCTCTCTAGTAATTGGCACTTTTTGGCAGTTGGGGGGCTGGTATATGGTTTTGACAAGTACTCGCTCCCATTTCCGGTCGAATCACCAAAAGTTCTATGTCCCCTCTTCCTTTCCCTGCAGCCTTCTGGGACACATCACAGGTCCCAGAAGACTGCAGGACCATTCACAAAGCGCAGCACGGCTGGTGCATGCACAGTGGAAAACCAGCTGTGAAGCCAGCAAACCTGAATCCAATTGAAGAATCGACTCAGGTGTGGGACAGTGCTGGATCTATGGTGATATTCACACTACTTGCCATCAGAAGACTACACATTAATGACAGGATAACACTGGACAAATTATTTTAATTTTAATTCATGGGGACAACTTGGAACGCCAAATTCCATTAGAGCTGTTGGATTTTCCTTTTATTTGGAGAGAGACTGGGATCTCTGCATCATCATACTGCTTTCAAGTTAGTCTTAGTCTATATGGTTTGGTTTTTTCTGTAAATATTCTACTATATTTTAAATATATTTAATATTTCAAAGATTCCTTGGATATAATGCATATGTGTAACTTGATCCTATGAAATGCTTGAACTGCTCATCTTAAGAAGATCGGATGAGAATACAGACTAATCTTGCTTGTTTACCCGAGTTATAGTTTACATTAAGAACAGGGTGAAGGGTGGGAGTGTGCAAAAAAAGGGTCTGGGTAAAGTTTGTTTTATTTGTAATGAAAAGCTTGTGTCACAAGTTAGCCTGCAGTTTCGTTTGTGTTCTTACCTTCTTGCTGCAGTCCTGTTCCTGATTCCTTCTCATGTTGTCTGTGCTCATCTATGGGCATTGTCTGCTGTCCTCTGGGTTTTATTTCCTTCCCTTCCATCACTTCCTGGCCCGCTTCCTTGTCTGCCTGTCTCTAAATAAGATGTGCTCAGACTAGGCCACTTTGACTGAGCAACTTCTTAGTTGTTGAAGCTCCTACGTGGTTCTGCTGCCCGAATCCTATATTGTCTATCTGTGTACCGACCCCGGCTTTGTTCCCGACTTTGCTTGTTTTCCGCCTGTCCTGACCTCGGCTTGCCTATTTGATTCCGTTTGCCTTCTTGTCTTCTCCCGTTATACTCTGCTCCCACGAACGGTCTCCTCCACCTCAGCTGGGTGTACCTGGGGGCCGCGACCTGGTCCCAGCTTGCTGCAAGTCCATCCCCACCATCAGGGGCTCTGGTGAACAAGCAGGCTGGGGCTTAGACTCCGCACCCTGGGGAACCCCAAGTTGAGGATCCATAGAGCTCACTACCACAGGTGCTGACAGCTTGTATGCAAAAAAAAAAACTATTAAAAGTAAAAAACATTTTTTCCAAAAGTATGTCAAAAGTTCACTGGTCAAGACCTTCCAACTGCAGGCCGAGAATGGTAATGTACACACTGCAACCACCCAACATTATCCACTAATACAATCCTATGGATATGACATTTATTTTCTTCATTACTTTCCGAGAACATCAAACTATTCAGTTCTACAAAGGGATTTAGATTCTAATGCAGTACCACAGTAATATAGACACATAGGCACACTAAGGTCAACTTTAGGCAGAATCCAATATACATTATCTTCTGGCATGGTTATAGGAGGACACCAGATCACCTGGAAGGAATCATGGCAAACATACAAGCTCAAGGTCTTCAGAAAGAAGGGACTGAGCTTCACTGAAAAGTCAACAATAAAAACACTGCTGTTTTGACCTACCTCTTCTGCAAGACCTGTGAGTGCCTCTATACCAGTTTTAGATTTGTATGGCTATCTCTATGTAAGCACTTGGGCATTTACCTCAAACAATGAGTGCATTTTCTACCCCTGGGACTGTGACAAGTTCAGTATAGTTTTGGTGGGAATGGAATCTAGGACCTTGATGTTATACAACAGTGCTAAACGCTAAGCAATTATCACCTGAAAGTGTGAATAGTGCACAGGTTAGAAGCAAACAAAAATGTTACAGGACAATAGTTCTGTGATAGAAGAAAGTAGAAAATGTCCAGAAAATGGTAATATTTCAGAGCTTCGAACCAGTGCTGCTGCTTACAGGAACTAAACAATTAGTTAGATGCAGGAAGGCAAGGAGCAAATCTGGCCACACATGAGTCAGTTTTTTCCTTTTTTTTTCGTTCAGTCAGCATGTTGAATGAAAAAAAACTGAATAGATTCCCCATCCATTTTCCATGTGGATGTGGGAATCCTTCCCACAGTCTCATTGTATACTGACAATGGACTCCCCCACTGTCCAAATACACTGAGCTGCAGCTGATCAAATGGAAATGTTTCAACAGGACTGATCATAAAAAGTCCATTGATCCATGTATGCCCAGCTTTACCTGTCTTAAATGAGAAGCAAAGCCAAAGCTCTTTTGGTTGTACTTCTGTGGTTCATTCTGCACTCGTTTTTCAGCTGACAGTCGGCTGACATCACTCAGTTGCTCCAGGCTGGGGAAAGATCCCAACTTTAAAGTCAGGATCTACCGAGAACCTGAACTAGCCGCTCTCTCCCCCTCCACAACCCAGCACTCCAGTGAGCGGGGGGGGAGGGGCAGAGCAGACAGCGGCAGTGAGATCTCAATCTTAGAGCCAGTGGGGGACAAATGCAGCATCGGACCAATGCTAAATCCACCTAGGTAAGTATGATTTGGTACTTACTACTCTGCATGTGATCACTGATTAGCCTATCAGTGATCACATGATCGGGACCTCGCACAGAGGTCCCGTATGATGATCAGTGTTCCACTGTGTCCAGAGGACACAGCGGGCACCGGATTGCGGTGCTGCGCGCTCCCAGGGAGCGCGCACAGCTTGAAAATGCAGGCGCCGTTTATGAACGGCAACCGCCCCTGGACTGCCACTGTCCGGCCGTTTATATACAATGGCCGGATGGCAAGTGGTTAAGTAATATTTAAAAATACAGTAATTGTAACTCGTCTCCCTCAAGCTCAATGGGCCATTTAAACAATGTAATCATTACAAAGAACATATATCAATATAAAAAGTGTTTTCTCTAGCTATTTTTATTAAAGATTAGTCTATATCCTATTAACAGTGTCAGATTTACTATTCTTCATGTGGGTCCACTTTAACACTAACAACTTTTGTCCATTGGAGAAATCAACATAAAAAGGGAGCTTATGACTACTAACCTGAGCACACAACCTGGAAACAGTATCTCATACTCCGTTTGCTGGCTGGATCCTCTGTTGATTGTTGCATTATTCTCATAGTTCTGCTGCACTTGGTCTCTCACATAGTAGGACTTAGGGACATCTCCTCCATAATTTATCTGTAAAAACAAAAGTCACAGTCAGTGTACATGATAAACCAGTATATAAAAATGATACAGTTTTTTTCTTTGTTGTTCATATTCATTTAAACCTTACTTAATCCCATGCTTATGTTTGTCACTAAGAAGGCTTTAGTCCCATCTGCATGCATTTTCATCAGATGAAAGAGCAGATATGTTAATAATTCAGAGAGAGATGTAAGACAGAGTCCATGGATGTTCTAGGAGCCAGGACATTTAGGGAACACATTTTATATTTTCCTGATTTACTATGACGTGGGCACATTGCACCACAATGACAGTTATTCTTCTTCATAGCTGATTTGTTTCATGTGTATCTAACGTTTTTGTGTCCTTTGAGGTTTGTTAGGCTTGGGCTGGCTATGCAGGAGAGATTCAGAGTATTTATATAGACATTTTAGGAAGAGTGTCCACCATTTCCCTGATTCAATTTCACAGTGCAGGGTGAAGTCTATGATGGAAAGTAAAATGGCTCTTCTTAGGCAGCTCTTGGTCCACCATTTAATTCAATTTCACAGTGCAGGGTGGAGTCAGGGCTATGGGAGGAGGAGAGGCCTTCAAATCTCCTCAAGCTCCTCGAGCTGGAGAATACAAGAGTGCCACACAAATAGTCCAAAAGTATTTATTTTATCATAAATATCCAGGGTTACAATCCAATGTGTATCTTTGGTTGAAAAGTACCCCTTCATCAAAGTGTTGGCAAGGATGAAAATGGTAGGCTCATAACAGCCCAGGAATTAAATATATCACTAACTTCCTTCCTTTTAAAATCAGCCATAGTAGCTGATTGGTGTTAGCCTCACATTTCAGAAAACAGTGTTCAACTCAGTTAAAGGTATCCAATTAAAGTGGAATTCCAGTCTATATCTAACTAAGCCTAAGGCTAGATTCACACAGGTGACTTAGGCTGGTGCAAATATTGTGACTCCTGCTCAGTGGCTAGGTGTGGCTGCCGGCCCAGTTCACAATAATGATAGGTTGCCAGCGGCCACAGCTATTCATGGTTCTTTGCATAGCCAGTGATTATCTGATGACTGCTGCTGGTACGCACTTGGTGTGTGAGGCCGGCACCCGCACCTAGCCACTCACAGCCACAACAGGAATCAAAAGATTTTTGCACACAATTTGCACTGGCCATAAATGGCGGTGTGAATGTAGCCTAAAACTGCTCCCACCCCCCTTCTAACTGCTATTCTAACTACCCTGTAGAAGTAAGATGCTTATACTTACCTATTCTTAGGGCTCTGTTGTCTGGTCACATGATCAGGTCCTAGCTGCAGCTTCAGGGAAGAGGAGGGACAGCCGACAACAGATGCCCCATAGTAAGCCAATGGCATGATGTCACCCCACAGGCATTTCAGCCATTGTCAGCGATCTCTCCTCTCCCCTGATCATGTTGCTGGACCTGAGTGCATCTTCCTTCTACAAGGTAGTTAGAATAGGAATTAGAAGTGGGGATGGAAGCAGTTTTAGGATTAGTTAGATATAGATTGGAGTTCCACTATACTGTAAAATGTTATGCTGATCATAATACATACGTATATATAAAGTTGTTTTGTGTATCAGAATATATACTACTCAAAAGAGCAGGCATTAGGCTTAAAATGTTACTAAACCCACAACAGTAAAATCAGTCTGTATATGCAGTAAAGCATGCTTGTTATACTCACTGTAGAACCTAAGGGGTTAATCCTCTGCATTGTGAAAAAAGGCTGTTTGCTCCTGTCTTCTCTGCCCCTCCTCTTGTTGAAATGTCCACCTGATACAGACTGAATCTATAGTCACATGCATGTGCTGCTCAGTTTGGTGTGTATTGCTAGAGAGGTTTTTTTTTTTTTCTTGGGAGGGTGCATGTGATCAGCAGAGGGCCAATCAGACAGAGAGGGTCAGGGGTGTCACATCCTCCTAGAGCAGAAAGAAAACTCCTCCTACAAGCTTTAACCAGTGTTCTACTGAAGTCAAAAGACTGCTATTTACTGCTGATGAGAAAAGGTATTTAGCAATTTATATTTACTAAAATAATTGCATTTCCATGTTGTGTGAACTGTGGGAGACCAGACAGAGTGAACGCAGGGTCCTGGGTTTAGTAACACTTTAATAAAAACTGCCTTTCCATATTCAGCTGCTGCTTGCTTAAAAAAAGTTTGTTTCATGCTTCAAACATGAAATGGTAGTACAAGCATTAAGATGAGTTTCAACTTTTGGAACATGTCACATGTTGCACCTGTATTTAGGGTGTAACATATAACATGTTCCAGCACAACACCCCCCCTCACCCCTGACATCTATAAATCGGTATGGCTGCACGGGGCACCGCTCACATAGTCACATCATTCACTCACAGAGATCTATGAACAAATAAACTAGGGGTTCTGTCTGCCACTACAGCAGGTGGGCTTGTAGTTTCAATGGGCTGTGAGGGTGCTGAACAGCTCGCTTGCAGACCATTCACACTTCCCACAGTTCTATAACTGACAGCCCATACAGAGCTACAGGCACAGAGCTGTAGGAGCCTGACATTGCACCGGCAATCCACTGGTGAAAAAATAATAATAAATGCATTTTTTTTTTTTACTGCAAAACGTATCTTTTAATGCATACACAATTTGGATATTTTGTTATACTTGTATACTTTAAATTGAATCTACTGTTGCATTATGAGCTGATCTAAGACACCATTTTCCATGGTGTCTTAGTGTTTTGTAGCTAATAGGCTGACTGTTTTGTTGATGTACCCCAAAGCCAACACAAAAATAAGCAAACTCTATTAAATGTTTATACAAATATTCAACAGTCACACTTCATGGCTTATGCATGAATTATAATAAAACTTTTAATCATACCTTGGATTTACATTTTGGATCACCGTCAGGGTCTGTTAGAGTTCCTCCATAGTACTTGGGCACCTGATCTGCATCTATATATTTCTGAAGTACTTCTTTCCAGTTTTCTAGAGAATACAAACATAGTTGGTCCATTACACAAATAGTGTTTATAGTCAGTCATAACAGAATCCCACACACACGTTGGATTTAGATGTTCAGTCAGGTCAAGCAATGGGAACAAACTAAATGAAAACTCAGCAGGCAATGATTATTTTGCTGCAATGGAAAATGAAATGAACTCTGTACTGAGCCATTTAGCTGAAAGTACAGACTTCTTGAGAAAACTACGTAGGCTACCATTACTGACCCTGACCTTTCTTTTTTAAAAAGCTAGTAACCTGGCAGTCATGCTGGTGCTAATACTTCACTTTTTTCTGAGTCACTGACCTTGAACAAGTATAGGGAAAAGTAACATTCATTAATACCTTGCATGTTCAGGATCTGTGACTTCAAATTATTGAAGCCAGGCACAACCAGGCAACAAGCATTCTCAGAAGGAAGTCAGCAATGGCAATCCATTACTTTTCTTTTCAAGAAGTGTACTTTAAACACATACAGTACTTTGGTCATAGAGTTAGGAATGGAACTTCAGTGGATAGAACTAGGTGGCTCGTCAAAGACATTAGAATAACATGACTTAAACAGCAAATATGAACTAAAATCAAAAATGAAGTTTTAAAGTACTAGGCTCCATAGCAAAATCATCATAGGGGCCATCTGGCACTAAACTCTCTTTCAGAATAATATTAGAAAACTGCTTGTTATTGTTACCCTCTAAGTTAAAGCGGAGTTCCAGTCTCCGGTGAAAAAAAAAACAAAAGTCAGCAGCTACAAAAACTGCCGCTCACCCTGTCCTACGATCCAGCAGTGTCCTCACCGCAGCCTGTGTCCCCGGCACTGGTATCTTAAGTGCGGGCACCCGACCGTGACAGCTTGCGGCTTCACAGCTGGGTGCCCACTGCGCATGCACGAGCAGCACTGCGCATTGTAAATAGTCCCACAGTCTTCTGGGACCTGTCACATTTTCCAGAAGACTTCGGGGTTGTGGGGGGGGGGGGGTGCTTGGGGAAGTGCCAATCCTTAACAGGGTGCAGGGACGAGGCCCTGCGGCCTTAAAACTGAAATTCCCCTTTTGGGTAAGCTCCACTTTAGGTGGTGCTGGCGTCATTCACAACAAACCAATTCCTCACACAGAACTTCGGAGCAGAAAATTACTGTTTGATAAAAAAAAAACTGGGGGATTCTTCTGCCTGAGGATGGTCAGATTGTATGGCTGGAAGGTCTTCCTATTTTATAGCAGATTCTACTAACAACAAACGTCTCGCACAATGGAGAAACCTGCTGTATACCTGTACGCAAGCTGTAAAAACAGAGTTTGCATTTTCTGAATTAATACTATTAAATGAATTATTAATATTAAAAAAAAAAGAAATAAAAGGGTGTATGAGTTATTTTTTTTTTATGCAGAGGGTTTCTGCTTCCTAAAATTGCATAGGAGTTGTTAGGTGGTTAGTTTAGATGCAAACAGAGCTTAGTGAACTTTTACTAAACATTGTGGGGTTATTTAATAAAACTGGAGAGTGCAAAATCGGGTGCAGCTCTGCATAGAAAGCAATCAGCTTTCAGGTTTTTTTTGTCAAAGCTTAATTGAACAAGATGAAGTTAGAAGCTAACGGGCTACCATGCACAGCTGCACCAGATTCTGAGTATTCCAGTTTTTGTAAATCAACCCCTGTACAGCATTCTTTAGAGTAGAATTATTCTAATACAAATTTCTGAAGTGCACACTCATTTTGCCCTATGTATTTATCAAATGCTATTTTTGCCTAAATAGCATGGTAACACTGGGCCGAAAGGCAGCCACATGGGTCACTAAAGCTAGTGGTTATGTGCCTGGTTACCTTAAAACAAGGCTCGACAAATCCCAGGTGCCAAGTCGCCATAGCGACTAGAAATAGTGTCCTGACACCTGGGTTTACACACTGGCTCCAGTTGACTTCAATGCAAAATCACGTCCCAATTACTTCAATGCAAAAAAAAACTCTTCCCATTGATTTCAATGCAAAAACTCCTGCCAATATCAATCCTATGTAAACACTTATCTCCGCATGCCACTCTACTCTACCACTTGCAAGTCTAGAACACATTGCTACAAACTCGCACAGGACCCTTTTCGTAATGGCACTCAAAACACAATGGGGTTGATTTAGTAAAGGTATTGATTTAGTAAAAATATACTGTGCACTGCAAGTGCAGTTGCTTTAGATCCGAGGAAAGCTCTGAAATGAGACGAAGCTCTGCTGATTTCTTTCATCCAATCATGTGCAAGCAAAAAAATGCTGTTTTTTTTATTTTACTTGCATGTAACTCTCAGATCTAGAGCAACTGCATTTTCAGTGCACTTCCAAGTGCACAGCCTATTTTCCTTTAGTAAATTAACCCCACTGTGTGTGAATCACATCTGTGTGAACCACCTCAATAGGAAAATATAACATCTAGTCTGTCATGTTAATCTGTGAGTTTGAAAATGCATCCAGAATTGGTTATCTGTGAATGAGGTGGCTCCATTCACACCTGGATGTTTTGAGATTGCTGTAGAATTGCTGTTTGAAAAACACAGGTTCAGGTGCCATTATTTTTAATGGCATCTAAAATGTGTTGGGGTTTTGCTGTGATTGCAGTAAATCACATCGCGTGAAGCTTGTCGCCTAGGAGTTGTATATTATTATACAGGATTTATATAGTGCCAACAGTTTGCTCAGCGCTTTACAATATAACGGGAGACAATACAGCAACAATACAGTTCAACAGCTTACAATACAGGATTCAACAGTACAACAATATAACAGAGACAATACAGGTTCAATACAAGGAGGGAGGGCCCTGCTCCTTGGAGCTTACAATCTAAGAGAATGTTGCCTTACCCCGGGCGCTGACGACCCTTGCTATGCTAGAAAAAAAAAAAAAAAACTGGCTTCTAACTTTTTTTACCTGGCCCCTAGAGTCAAAGCAATTTTGTAAAAAAAAAAAAAAAAAAAAAAAAGGATCCATACAAAAAAGATCCATACCTCCTACTACAATGATCTTTCTTCTTGTGTCTTCACTCAGGAAATGTTTGATAAGATTATATGCCACTGGGAAGAGTTTAGGAGCTGCAGGGAAAGAAAAAAATACTGAAATCATCAATCAATCTTACTCAACAAGAAATCAACTGAAATTAAGTGCCTATTTTTTGAGCCTAATGCCAGATTTTTTTTCTTTTAGATAAAGTAGAGAAGAGTTACCATTTCTATCAGGTTTGTACTTCTGTTACACTACTGGGGAGACAAAAAACCTTCTAACAAGACATTTTTTTCACTCCCAATAAAGAAAGCTGGCCATACACAGAGATCTTTTTTATTCAGCCTGTGGACTGAAGGAAAAAAATCTAACAGGCTCCTCCATCCACGCTAACAGCAGGGATGGACATATTCTTCCTACTAAGCTATTGTATTGTGATAGCAGGCATCACCAGGAAGCAGGCGCTGTTCAGCCGACAATTTTTCAGCAGGCTCCTTCAACAAAATTTGCCTGAACAATTAACTTGCCTCAGCGCTGGCAGGGCCATACACTGCTTGAGGTTTGGCTAAGCCAGCAGTAATAGGCTGAATTTCAAGTAGTGTATTAGGTCAGACCTCCTTATTAACTCTGCAAACTTAGGAGAATTTAGACACTTAAAGGCCGATTTGAATTTTTGCACTGCATTAAGACAGCAAATTGAACTGAATGGGCAGCTAACAGACCACAGCATCCTGAAAATCGTTATGGTCATATTTTTTGTAACACTACACCGTAGCATCATGTATTGTGGAGCACTACAATGCAAGTGCATTACCCTATCATTGAAGGCAACACTTTCTTTTTTTAGTTTTGGAACTAGTGGAGAGGGATTAAAACACCTGTCAGTTTTTTTGTATGTGCCCCCATTAAAGAGATTCAGCCTCTCTATTTGTCCTGTTTACTGTTTTCACTGAGAGTTCCTCACTTTGGAGGGATTTCCTCTAACTTCCTGTTTGGCTATGGGACTAGAAGTGGAAGGGAAATCTCCCCTATGGGATACAGATGGCAAAAAAAAAAAAAAACTTCACAGGGGTTATAGCCTTCCCTTACTCTATCCATAATGAAAAAAAACGTTCTGCCTTTATTTCTACTTTAAAGTGGAAGTAAACTCCCAGTGGACACTTGTACCTACAGGTAAGCTTATAATAAATCTAACCTGTAGGCACAAAGAATATCTCCTAAACATGCACCGTTTAGGAGATATTCAGTGTCCCTGCAGCCGATGCCGTCCCTGACGCAAGCACATGGGTATGCTGTTGCTTCAGAGCTCTGTGCCATGGCCAAGACTCCCACACACATGCCAATCAAGCGGCCATAGCCCGCAAATCCGGAAGGAAGACCAGGTGAAGATAGAAGCCCTATCAGCAGTGACGTACAGTTACAATACAATTCAATACAGGAGGAATCAGAGGGCCCTGCTTGTTAGAGCTTACAATCTAAAAGGGAGGGTCAAGACATACAAAAGGTAATAACTGTGGGGGATGAGCTGATACAGAAAGTGGAAATACAGTTGTTATCTGGAGGTGGGACAGGCTTTTCAGAAGAGAAGGGTTTTCAGGGATTGCCTAAAAGTGGCCAGAGTTGGAGACAGTCGGACAGATTGGGGTAGAGAGTTCCATAGGAAGGGAGTGGCTCTGGAAAAGTCCTGGAGGCGAGCATGGGAGGAGGTGACAAGGGAGCTAGACAGCAGGAGGTCTTGAGAGGAATGAAGAGAACAATTTTGTTGATATTTTGAGACTACGTTTATATAGCTGGGGCAGAGGTGTAGATGGCTAAGTTATTGTTAGTATTTTAAATTGAATTTGTTGGGTGAGTTGCAGCCAATGGTGGGATTGGCAGAGAGAGGTAGCAGACACTGAACAGTTGGTAAGATGGATGATTTTGGCGGCAGCAGTCATTATGGACTAAAGGGGGATAGCCTATGTAAACGTAATACAATGAGGTGGGAGTTGCCGTAGTCGAGGCAAGAGATGACCAGAGAGTGAAATAAAAGCTTTATGGTGTCATTGGTTAGGAAGAAACGTATTTTGGAAATGTTGTGTAGGTTCAGGCAGGAAGGTCCGGACAAGGATTGGATGTGGGGCCAAAAGGAGAGTTCAGAATCCAAGATTACACCTAGCACCCAGGCATAGAAGGGTGGGTTGATGGTTGTGCCATTGATCTTGACAGAAAAGTCAGGGAAAGGGGGGCCAATATTATGAGCTCAGTTTTGGATATAATCACAGAATCTCTGGGCATCCATGGATTATATATGTAAAAAAGCAGATAAGTGAACTTTTTGCGTCTAGGGGATATAGTATTATTTAGAGTGATTGTTTATTTTGGATTAACTGCAATTTTTTAGATAAGTGATATTGTTTAAGCATGTTCCATGTACTGCCACCATCAAGCCTAGTATTCTGATCATTTTATTACAATAATCATATATAGCTCACCTTTAATTACAAAAAGTCTCTTCAATGCCTCTGGATAATTATCTTCAAACATTTTCAAGACCTGGAGAATGGCAAAATTACTTTGCATATATTACAATAACAATTATTTATTATTACTTTAATATTACATTAAGTGTTTTATAAGGAGTCACTTGGAAAGCTACCATGCTGTAAAAATTAGAACACCCATGTAACATTCGTGCTAACATTTACATGTGTATAGCATACATGGACACTATTGGCCACCAATACTGCTCAGGGCCAAAATGTTAATTATCCACGACGTGCAACCAGAGGCGCCACAGATACTGGTCACACAATATTGATGTTTACATTCCCTGAGTTATTTATGTGGCAGCAGCACATATGCAGAATGATCAAATATAGTAACTCACGCTTGTGTGCTGCTACACCACAAGACATATTTGGAGGGATCAAACATGGATTCATCGCTACATGAAGGATTTATTCCAACAAAATGCATTTGACCTATTCTAATTCATAGGTCGAACCTTAAGGTGAGCAGGGAGTGTGTCTTGAATACATGCATGATTGTGGAAAGTGGTTAACACATTTATTTGGACATTTTGATCTCGGGATCTGGACTATTAATATATATTTTTTTCACAGCTGATTTATTGTGGATTGATGTTTACTGTGTATTTGAGCTTTATTTAATTCATTTTTCTGATGAGTGCACTACATTTAATTTTTGTAATATAAGCAGAATGATTTCTGCCATTTCTGAATGAACGTTCCACAAGGACATTCCAATAAATAGGTAACACACTTTGTCCTAAATGTAATAAATGTTTTTATTTTATTTGTTCTTTGATACCTGTTGGATTGGAAGCTCATTTTTTTCTTATTATTGCTGTTACAGGTTTTACATATAGTATACATTCCACATTTATAAAAACCTGTTAAAATAAAAAAAAAAAAATGTGGTTGGCTGCTGTATTCAAAACTGGCCACTACTCCATAAGCATTTCTATCAATTTCTCTGGATTTGAGCAACTCCTCTGTATTCATCTGTTTTACCTATCTCCTTATCTGGTCTAGACACCTTCTCCTATATCTTTCTTCCAGGAATCTTACTGTTAGGGTCTCTGCCTGGATGTCATAATCATGTTCATCCATGCAGTATGTGTAATAAAAGAAACTGCACGGATGAACATGGTTTATTTGGAGCCACTATCTATGGAAGGGTGAGAAGAGACATTGCCAGTGAAGGAAGAATAAAATGGAAAAGGTTTATTTAAAGTGGACCCACTTGGAGCTTCAACACTACCTGAGCTAACATCTTACCCACTTGCATGGCTGCTCTTCATATATAGAAGAGGGCCCACTTCCTTCGGCGAGTGTGTGAGAAAAGTGCACTGGTAAGAAATTGGTGTAAAGAGGAAGAGGTGGATTTGCACAAGAGCACAGAGAACTTTCATTTGGGATATATATAAGTACATAAAATCTGTTATATTAACAGCTAAATTTGTATTTATTTCAGGTACTTATATAGCGCCATCAATTTACGCAGCGCTTTACATATATATTGTACATTCACATCAATCAATTAGCATAAAGCAGTTTTGGTGGACTTGTATGGACACAATTTTTTGGGTTTTTTTTTTAATTAGTTTTTTTTTTATAGAAGATGTTCATTCATGTATAAGGTAACTGATTTGTATTTATAATAGTAAAAGCACGACACACATACACATTTATGGTGAGACACATTTGTATACAGGTTAATGTTATTGGTGTTAAATGAGTGGATCTGTATCATATAGTGTGATAAGAGTGGATGATAGCGCTGTATAATATTCTTTCTTCATATGTTTGATGGGCATTGACCCTGACTACAGCTGCTGTCACAGCTAATGTTGTTTGAATTTTTGTGAAGATACAGAACGTGGGTTTATTATTATTGTGTGATTGATAACATATCATCAGCGGCAGCAGCACCGTTGGCTACACATTGTTGAAATTTATATGTCTGCCTTGAGCAGAGGAAGCGGCCAATAGACTCCACACAAGCTGTACATTGTAAGCATGTAAATGTTTGAATAAACATTAATATACGTACAGTATAAAATACGATCCATACACAACACGTGAATGCAGACTTTTCTATTGTTAATCCATCAACACTGGATCTAACAAACTACACAAAATACCTATTAACCCCTACTAACGTTACGTCAGCCATAGATAGATGGAATTGAGCAGGGACCGGTTGAGGTTTGATCCATCTATGGGCAGGCTGGTTTTACCCAAGTTGATCCATCAATCAACTTGGGTACAACCAGCCTGTTGGATTTTTTTATATACAATTACTGTGGGCAGCTATAGGCACTAGCTCTGCGGGAGGCATTCCCCTATCAACATTGACTGTGTTGATGGGGGAAATTAGATTTTTGGAAAGAAAACTGCATAATCTATGACCTGTTTTAGTCTGCTAAAACAAAGCTAGAGATTGCTATTAACTCTAAACATATACACTGTACCAAATCAGTCATTGTCAGTTTGTAATATCATCATGCTTTATATCCATAATTCTTAACTATGAGTGACTATCAGCACAAATCCTGACCACATTTCCATCTTTCACACTACTCTGCCTAAACAAGAATATGTCAAATAGATATATGTTGTTACAAAATGGATCATGAACTAGATGTTCAGTAACACCATGTGATTTGGATCTTACAGTTGCAAGAAAAAGTATGTGAACCCCTTGGGATTACGTGGAGTTTTGCATGAATTGGCCATAAAATGTGCTCTGAACGTCATCTAAGTCACAACAATAGAAGAACACGGTCTGCTGAACATAATACTACACAAAACATTAGATGTTGCCATGGTTTAATTGCACATAACATGTAAACATTCACAGTGCAGGGAGGAAAAAGTATGTGAGGCCCTAGCTTAATGACTTCTCCCAGAGCTAATTGGAGCCAGGAGTGAGCCAACCTTGACTCCAATCAGTGTGATGATATTGGATATGTTGCTGACAGCTGTTCTGCCCTTAAAAAACACACACCTGTTTTGGGTTTACTGGTTTCAAGAAGCACTGTCTGATGTGAACCATGCCTCGCAGAAAAGAGCTCTCAGAAGACCTACGATCAAGAATTGTTGACTTGCATGAAGCTGGAAAGGGTTACAAAAGTATCTCCAAAAGCCTTGATGTTCATGTGTCCACGGTAAGACAGACTGTCTACAAATGGAGAAAGTTTAACACTGTTGCTACTCTCCCTAGGCGTGGTCGTCCTGTAAAAATGACTGCAAGAGCACAGCGCAGAATGCTGCATGAGGTAAAGAAGAATCCCAGAGTGTCAGCTAAAGACCTACAGAAATCTCTGGCACATGCTAACATTTTTGTTGATACATCTACAATAAGGAAAACATTAAACAAGAATGGAGTACATGGGAGGACACCAAGGAGGAAGCCATTGCTGTCCAAAAAGAATATTGCAGCACGTTTGAAGTTTGCAAAAGACCACCTGGATGTTCCACAGCACTACTGGCAAAATATACTGTGGACAGATGAAACCAAGACTGAGTTGTTTGGGAAGAACACACAACACTATGTGTGGAGAAAAAAAGGCACAGCACACCAACATCAAAACCTCATCCCCACTGTAAAACATGGTGGAGGGAGCATCATGGTTTGGGGCTGCTTTGCTGCCTCAGGGCCTGGACGGATTGTTGTCATTGATGGGAAAATGAATTCCAGAGTTTATCAAGACATTTTGCAGGAAAACGTACGACCATCTGTCCGCCAACTGAAGCTCCGCAGAGGATGGGTGATGCAACAGGACAATGACCCAAAGCATACAAGTAATTCAACAAAACAATGGCTGCAACGGCACAGAATACGCCTTCTGGAGTGGCCCAGTCAGAGTCCTGACCTCAACCCGATTGAAATGCTGTGGCATGACCTTAAGAGAGCGATTCACACCAGACATCCCAAGAATATTGCTACACTGAAACAGTTTTGTGAAGAGGAGTGGTCCAAAAATTACTCCAGATCGTTGTGCAGGTCTGATCTGCAACTACAGGAAATGTTTGGTTGAGGTTATTTCTGCCAAAGGAGGGTCAACCAGTTATTAAGTCCAAAGGTTCACATACTTTTTCCTCCCTGCACTGTGAATGTTTACATGTTATGTGCAATTAAACCATGGCAACGTCTAATGTTTGTGTAGTATTATGTTCAGCAGACTGTGTTCTTCTATTGTTGTGACTTAGATGACGTTCAGAGCACATTTTATGCCCAATTCATGCAAAACTCCACGTAATCCCAAGGGGTTCACATACTTTTTCTTGCAACTGTATATACTGTATATCACGTAAAACATGTAACATCCCAAAAAGCAAACACAGTGGATGTGCCCTACTTTCACTATATCTTCTGTCAATCTTTATATCTTGGCTCTTGTGGTGGCCAGCCAGTGAGGGGGCCACATGCAACCCTTCAGCACTTACTGCATGGCCCTTGGGGCTCCTGCAGAGGTTAGATGTCCTTACCTGGGTGCTCATTCATGTCAGTGACAGAAAAAAAATCTTCTGACTGACTTTTAGTACACAGTTTGGTTTATTTCTGTTACACTATCTTTCTCCGTGCAGTTTTCTCTAGTAATTTTTTTTTTTTTTCTCTTATCTTTTTTAATGGATCTTGCTAAGAGAAAAATCAAAAGTGGCACAAGAGGGTTGGCTGTAGGGACCAAAAATATGGCAACACTAATTTGTAAAAGGACTCTAATAGCTATGATCTCTAGCAGTCTCCTGTGAAGTATCTCCAGTCCATGGCTGTTTCCTGATGTATGCCCCCTGTCTCCTAACTCCTATAACATGTTCACAGTTTCTGACCATTTACTGCACTGTCTGACAGCTTTTTGTGTTCATCATTCAAATGCATGCAACCGCGCTTAAAAGGAAAAAGCAACTGTCACGGAATAGGGACCCCTGCCAAATGGCCAACATCCATCACAGTGGCTTCCCGCCCCCCCCCGGCCAGCTGGCTGCCTGACCTCCACTGCCCTAGCTTGCTTCCTCCATTGGCCCCTCTGATGTCCTGGAGGGGTACAGTGTCATCCTGGCCCCCACTGTGTCCCCTGTCTCCAGCCTGATAAGAAGCTTTCATCCCTGTGGGCCAGTGGCCCCCCTTCACCTCTTGTCCCGCCGCAGTGGGATGAGAGGTGCGACGTTCCCCACCTCTGCCACTATTTTCTCCCTCTCTGGCTTAGGCCGGAGAGGAGAAGGTGGCGAGGTTCACACCTCCCCGTGGGGAGGTGCAAACCTCCCCCCAGAGATGTTCCGGGCTACGGCGTTTTGCTGACGCCACTTCAGCCCTGTCATCCGCAGCGTGGGCACGGGAAGTTCCCGCGCTTGTGGATGTCCCTGGACAAAGGCCGCGCTCACGAGAGGCGCGGGGGTCCAGAGGCACGCCAGCTCCAGCCCGCCCCAGTTGCCTAGGCGACCAGGGAGCATCCGACATCAGCTTAAGAAGCTGATGCCGGGCGCTCCCAGGGTATTCACCGCTGTGCAGCCACTAAAGGAGCCCCAGCTGCGACGGGACTTTCCTGGCCAGACTCTGCAGAGACCTAAGCCTGCCTAAGACCCCCCTGCGCAGGGGAAGACTGCCTGCTAGCCGCCAGGGATCCAGAGACCCCCAGCCACTGCCTGCTAGCTGCCAGGGATCCAGAGACCCCCCAGCCTAGGGGAGAGTTGCAGGACTGCCTGCTAGCTGCCAGGGATCCAGATTCCCCCCAGCCTAGGGGAGAGATTCAAGTTTGCCTGACAGCTGCCAGAGCTCCAGAGACCCCCAGTGGGAGACCAGGCACCCTGTCGGATCCATGAGTACATAACTCTCCCTGTTTTACTTGAACTGTTCCTGTGCTGACCCCCCACCTCCCCTGTTGGATTACAATTGCTACAGAGACTCACCACCCCCCTGTTGGATTACAATTGCTACAGAGACTCTTCCTTGGCTCTCAGTGTTGGACTATAAGTGTGTTGGCCCCTCCTTGCTGCCCTCTACTGGCGTATTCACCTTCTCTGTGAATTCCCCTATTCAGTGACTGTCATCTGTTTGTCTCAATAAAGCTTTGTGCGTTTGCCATCTACTCTGTGTGTTCTGTCCTGCCTACCCTCTGTCACAGCAATGTTTGACAAGAAAACACCTGGGTTTGATATGTTTTTCCAACATTTCAAACACTCAATAGGACATGCTGCATCCAAATTAAAGTCAATGGGATTTGGATGACCTGGATTTATAAATGCACATCAAATGCAGGAAAAAAACACCAATCCACATGAGCCCCTGCAATCACTGAATATTATGTGTGGCCCTTGTGATGTCAGAAGCTGCACTTGAGTCCCTATATCAAGAAATCTGACCTTTTTTTTTTTTCTATTTTTTTCAGCCTTAAAACCTATAGCTGTAACCAATGAATGGCCTTCTCTTTTGATCACTAGCACAATACAAAGAATTTTTAATCTTTAAGTACACACACATGAAAGCATTGTCATGCCTACATGGTCACATGTATGTAAAAAAAACAAAAATGTACAAAAATGTACAATAACATTAAAAACACTCTCATAGGGGTTGATTTACTAAAGGCAAATAGACTGTGCACTGCAAGTGCACTGAAAGTGCAATTCCTCTAAGTCTGAGGGGAAGCTCTGAAATTAAGGGAAGTGCCGCTGATTTCTATCATCCAATCATGTCGAAGCAAAAATGCTGTTTTTTATTTTCCTTGCATGTTCCCCCCAGATCTAGAGCAACTGCACTTTCAATGCACTTCCAAGTGCACTTGCAGTGCACAGCCTATTTCCTTTAGTAAATCAACCCTATAGTTTCATAATAGTTAAACAGTAACAAGGGCCTTAAGAACCTTGACATTTAATATACAGAAATTTCTGTATCACTTGTGTATGTCATGCTCTTTTGTACAAAATTTGTATTGTTACAGGTAAATGGGAGATAGATACATAACAAAAAAAATGACAAATTGACCATAAACGTATGGGTACAGAGATGCATATATATGGTACAGGCAGAATGTTAGCTTCATATCAGGTATAGTAGTACCTTCTCAAACAAATATTCCAAACTGATATCTCTTGCATGAATGCTATTCCTTACCTCTCCATACAAATCCACCCCTGGTTTCCATAGATGCTTAAGTCCCAAACCTTCCACATCATAGATCATCACAACTTCTTCAACTTTTTTCCCCAGCTACAAAGACAAAAATAAAATAAATACATTTTTGACTGGTTGTTGTGCTATATGTGATATGGTGCTGATAAATCAATATTTCACATTTAGAAAGGTATAATGATTCTGGGTGCAAAGAATTAACAGTTCTCTTCATATGAATAAAGTAGCCACACGTTACAAACTGACTATTCAATCTCCTTCAGTCTTACAGTCTCCTTACAGTCTTGCATCTGGCTTGTTTTCGGGTGTATCAGGTGCCTGGTCCCTGCTACTCTCTGTGGTTCTTTAAATCAGCCGCATTTCCTGCAGTAATGTACGGAACAGTAAACAGAACCACAGAGCAGCTTGGTGGCACTGGCAGCAAGTATTTTGTGCTTGCTTTGCCTATATTGAGTCCCTTATCTTTATTTAAGTACAACATAAGTAAAAATGGTGAAAAACTTTCCTACACCTTGTTCTAGTGGCAAGTGCCTGGATTTACTTCTTCCATGTTGGTGATTGCAACAGGGCATTAAAACAACTCCAAGGTGACAAGGAAAACCCAACTTTGTTTACAGGGCATTTCATGGGTAAAGTCAGATGTTTATCTTCTTCCTAAACCTGCAACAACAGATCTCTGAAGGCTTTCAGAGCCAGTAGCACAAAGGGGTCATTCTATTTTCTGGTTCTTACGGACACATTTGTGCAATTTGCATAGTGTAAAATGGGAGTGTGAGTTAAGAACAATTTTTTAGTAGTGTAAAATTTAGAACAATTTTTAACCTTTAGCCTGCCATATTCCAAGAATTTTCACCTTCTCAGTCTGCAGTCGGCATTCCAGATGCATACGTTCACAATCTCTCATTTTTGTCTTGATGAGGTCCTGTTTGGAAGCAGAAAACAGCATCCCTTTGGGATCCAGGGGCCCAATGACATCGTACCAAATAGGAGAGCCTTCTTGATCATAACCACACAACCCCCCGGATAAGTACTTCTGGACTACCTGGAGAAATTACAGTTGTAAATAAAGTAACATATGGTGTGATAAAGAAAAAAAAAAGTCAACATTCACAAGCAATAAACAGTATTTTATAACTACCACCCCCTGTTTATGTTCTAGATATTTTGCATGGCTAAATGCATTAACCACTTTTCTACCAGGGCAATTTTCTTAATTTGTCACACATGTTAAAATCTGCAAAAAAAAAAAAAAAACTTTAAACCCCCAAACAATGATATATTTTCTGAAAGTAGAGGCCCTGTAAAATAAAACAGTAGCACCACCTTGCCGCATCTCAAAAGTGTTTTGTTTACTTTAGAAGGCTTGTGCATCACATTGTAATTTAGTACTTGTTTAGACTGTCATATACAGGAGCCTTTAGTTTTAAAAGAGAAGTATTTTTTTTTTTTTTCTTAATTGTGCTTACCTAGCTGTCCCCCTCCGGCTCTAAGGGTGAGAACTCAGCAATCACTTGACCGCTGATCGCGGAGTTCTCACAGCCACTCTGAGCAGACAGTGGTGACTTCATTATGAAAACCTTTCAGTCCAGTGGGAAGGATTTTCCCAACTCCACAGCTGGACTTGAGAGCCACCATATCACAGCCAATCAGGTCTTTAGCGTAAGGTAAAAGCAATGGTCCAGAGAATGTGCATTCTTGTCCCACATGGCCAGAATATCAATTGTCTGGAGTGGAACTGGGAAAATGCAACTACCTTGAAAGAGGCCATTATCAAGCCCCCCTCTTGCAAAACTAAATGGTTGGTTGACTAATGGTCTGTAAAGTAGAGAGTATATCTGGGACCTGATTGTTTAAGTTTTTCCCACCCTGGACATGGCAGTTTCCAAAGTCCAGGTTCCAATTTCCAAGGTTTGGGACTTCTGGAGGTTCAGGATCCACCCGGACCTCTGCAAAGATTGAACAGTCTTTGAATTTTTTTGTTGGCTGATAATGCGTGTTCCGACTGTTCCCGTGTGAGGGAGGATGCTGACGTTGATGCGATCTGGGAGTTTTGTTGCTTGCTGATATGCGAGTGCACTTCTAGCATGGGGAAATGTGCATGTACCTAAAAGATGATTTGTTTTCCGTCTTGTCCTGACATAGACTTTATTGTAGTTACTTGGTTACTTGCATAATCCAATTATAAAATATGCTCCCTGCTTTGTAAATGCCACTGTTTTGTGCTGCTATACTAGAAAACAACCAACCCACTCAATTATATCAATAAAAATGATAACATATTGTACAGGGTTCCAGGTAGTAAGAAGTAAGAAAAAGTCTTATCTGAAATTCCAAAGTTCAAAGTATAAATAAAGATGCAATGGCTTTAAATACTTTCCTATTTACATGACACAGTAATATTATAGATATTGCCTCTTATAGACCTATGTACACACACACAGAGGCACTAGTAATCTACAGTATGTCTGTTCACCTAGTGACCCAGTGAAGTCAGATATAAACCTAACACAGGCTCTAAAATATATAAAATTTAGCTTGCAGAGAGATCCGCAACACTACCCTAATCCCTGTTGTTACAATATAACTATATATATATTTAAACACAGACACACTGTATAGTTATACAGGCTAAAGTGAGTTTTACCATGTGATGTATGTGAGGTTTCTCATTTGTCCAGGTGATGATATATCTAGTAGTAGTTAACCACATTAACTGGCCTTTTTCTTTAATGTTGAAGACATTTTGCAGCTCATACAATAAACTTATAACTGAAGAAGCCACTTCAGCTGGCTACAGATGGGTTGATATTGGGCCATTTCAGCACGGACCAGGCAAATTTCGATCCATCTATGCCTATTCCTGTTCATGATAAATCGATCAACTTCTCATGAATGGCCTTGTTGGAAAATGTTGGTTCGATCAGAGCATGCAGTTAATTGGCTGCAACGCTAATCAGTGTATTCTGATGGTGGGGGAGTCCTGCTTTAAGAATACAATGACACAGCGAGGATTCTTGAATCCACCATAAATCTGTGGATGGGGGAATCAGTCAATTTTTTCACTCAGCCCGCTGGCAGAATGAAAAAACAAGTCCTGTATGGCCAGCTTTAGAAAACAGCTCCAAAGTTACAGAACAAGTTCAGTTCAGTGTGTGTGATTAATGTGTCATCCCTACCTGACAGGGAGCTTCAGAATAATACAGGTAAAGAAAATGTACAAGAAACTGAAATTTGTCTAAACTTGATTGACAGGTTAGAACATTTCTGCTGATTCACCTTGCTCTAGTGTCTACTTATCTTGAGATAAGTAGAGACATTAGAGATTACAGCCTATGAAGACTTTACATATCATGAACAAAATTAGTATACTGGGAAAAAAAAAAATCTGAGAATTTGCTTTGTGAAACCTTGTGTACAACCATGGTGTGGTACTGTATACAGTTTTCCTTAGATCTGCCACAGAAAACAAGAGGCTGCTGTGGCTAGAAGCACATAATGTCTACTAGCTCTTATACCACATTAAAGGATTGACCTGAACTTATTTCCTGGCACACACACGAACAAGGGTATCAGAGTAAGGGTTAGCATTAATCTGACACCTATCTATATGCAGAGCAGGTTTTTTCAGCAGATTAGTTAAAGGGATTTTACAAGTCTGGACTGCAGCCAGTTAAACTGCTCAGTTATCGTCACATAACGTAGTCGTGTTCCTTTTAAATGAACATAGTAGCAACTCGTCTTGCAGTTAAAATGATAAATGAACTACTGTTATTAGTGAACCTTTACTGTGTAAATATATGTATATACAGGTGAAACTCGAAAAATTAGAATATCGTGCAAAAGTTCATTTATTTCAGTAATGCAACTTAAAAGGTGAAACTAATATATGAGATAGACACACTGCAAGATGCTTGAAGTCCAGTGTGAAGTTTCCACAGTCTGTGTTGATTTGGGGAGCCATGTCATCTGCTGGTGTTGGTCCACTGCTTCATTAAGTCCAGGGTCAACGAGGCCGTCTACCAGAAGATTTTGGAGCATTTCATGCTTTCTTCCGCAGACGAGCTTTATGGGGATGCTGACTTCATTTTCCAGCAGGACTTGGCACCTGCCCACACTGCCAAAAGCACCAAAACCTGGTTCAATGACCGTGGGATTACTGTGCTTGATTGGCCAGCAAACTCGCCTGACCTGAACCCCAAAGAGAATCTATGGGGCATTGCCAAGAGAAAGATGAGAGACATGAAACCGAACAATGCAGAAGAGCTGAAGGCCGCTATTGAAGCATCCTGGTCTTCCATAACACCTCAGCAGTGCCACAGGCTGATAGCTTCCATGCCACACCACATTGAGGCAGTAATTGCTGCAAAAGGGGCCCAAACCAAGTACTGAGTACATATGCATGCTTATACTTTTCAGAGGTCCGATATTGTTCTCTGTACAATCCTTGTTTTATTGATTGCATGTAATATTCTAATTTTCTGAGATTGTGGATTTGGGGTTTTCATGAGCTGTAAGCCATAATCATCACAATTATGACAAACCACGGCTTGAACTATCTTGTTTTTGATGTAATGAGTCTATCTCATATATTCGTTTCACCTTTTAAGTTGTGTTACTGAACTAAATGAACTTTTGCACGATATTCAAATTTTTCGAGTTTCATCTGTAAATAAGTAAAGTTACAGGAAAAACCTTGGATTTAAAAAAAAAAAAAAAAGAAGAAGAAAATCCCCTGAAACCCCACATATGGCTAAAGTGTCACTTTACCGTTATACTACTAATACAGTTCTACAGATGACAGAATAAAACTAGAATGACATTTGTTAATACGGTACCATATCCTATACACTGTACTTAGAAATTGCAGTTTTTAAGGCTGTACAGATGCTTCTATTGTTTAGTTTTACTGTCGCATGACCAGCTCTATACCAGCTTTGCCTATACACAATCATGACCTGAAAAATCCATTTGCTGTCCATAGTGCATGGGAAGAAAAAATGAATTTGAAGCTTACGTATATATAGGTTGATGTAGTTAACATGCAAAATGGATTTCAGTACTGTCAGTTTGACACCTATTGGCAATTTAAAGCCTGATTATTATAAGCCCACACATAAATACAGCAGTCATCATTACTGACCCTCAAACTCAATGTAACCTATAATCCTAACCCTAAAGCTCTATGCCTAAAGGCATTGAAAAATACAACAATGTAAAATCACAGCAATAAATACTATAGTGCTGAGATAAATGGTGAAAAATACTACTGTGTGCAGATAATATAAATAAAAAGCTTTGGCTCCTGCTTACAATGTGGTTTACTCAAGTTCCTACACATAGGGCCTCATGCCACCTAAAGTTTAGCAGGAGAAATTGATTTGGGAAAAACAAAATAGCTTTGAATTTCCCAGGCTATTTTTTTTTGTGTCTAGATGGTAAAATAAGTATTGAACACACCACCATTTTTCTTAGTAAATACATTTCTAAAGGTGCTATTGACATGACATTTTCACATGTCCATAAGAACCCATGCAATCCATACATACAAAGAAACCAAAACAAATAAGTCCAGAAATTAAGTCATGTGTAATAAAAATGATATGACACGGGGATGATGAAGGTGAAACAAGGGTGGACATTTCAGCAAGACAATGATCCCAAACACAAAGCCAAGGAAACTCTCTATTGGTTTCAAAGAAAAAAAATAAAGCTGTTAGAATGGCCCTGCCAGTCACCTGACTTGAATCCAATAGAAAATCTATGGGATGACCTAAAGATCAAAGTTCATAGAAGAGGCCCATGGAACCTTCAAGATTTGAAGACTGTGTGGAAGAATGGGCCAAAATCACACCTGAGCAATGCATGTGACTAGTTTCTCTATACAGGAGGCGTCTTGAAGCTGTCATTACCGATAAAGAATTTTGTACCAAGTATTAAATACATTTCAGTTAGAGTGTTCAATACTTTTTCCCTGTGTCATTCCATTTTATTACACATAACTTAATTTCTGAATGTATTTGTTTTTGGTTTCTTTGTATGTATGGATTCCATGGGTTGTTACCAACATGTGGTGAACATGTCATGTCAATAAGCCCTCTAGAAATATATCTACTGAGAAAAATGGTGATGTGTTCAATACTTATTTTACCCGCTGTACTAAAGCCGACCACAGATGGATTGCATCTCAGCCAGTTCAGCAGGGACTAGCTATGGGTAGGGTGATTGACTTGGGTACAACTGGCCTGTCAGATTTTTAACATTCGATTACTGCCTGCACCTATAGCTGCAAGCAGTAATCATTGTGTTCTGCCGGCTGGGACGGCTCCCCAGGCCCCCCTTCGCCAGCAGAATACAATAGAGCTGCAGGAGGGATTGTGTATTGACTGTGTTGATGGGGGAATTCAGTGATTTTCTTTCCTTCCATCCGTGGTGGAAGGAAAGAAAATGGATTCATCTATGGCTTGCCTTAAACGTGTTTACCTGCAGAAATCAAGGCTAAGTCCTCATGCACACTGGAAATTTTTACAGTGCCTGTTTTTGCTTTTGACGTTTTTTTCTACAGCTAGTAATCCCCCCAGCATGTTATCCTATGTATCCATGCACACATAGACTGTAATCAATGTTTTTTGGCTGGGACATTTTTAGGCTGGAAAAGAAACCCAGGACTAGTGGAGGTTTTTTAGCTGTAAAGACACTCTAACACTAAAAAACACAGCAGAACGTGGTAAAACAGCGCAAACCGGCATTTTTGGATTTATTTTGCCCCCCCATTTTTTTTTCTTTTCTAAAAAAAAAATGCTAAAAACCGCAAACGTGGGAAAACCCCGCTAAACGCCATTGCAAAAACGCTAAAAAGAGCTGAAAAACTTTACACAGCTAACATTACCAGCATTATCAAAATGTCCAGTGTGCATGAGGACTAAGTGAATTACAGAATATTTTTTGTTTATGTTAATGCAGGTAGGCGGGCGGCACAGTGGCTTAGTGGTTAGCACTTCTGCCTTGCAGTAATTGGGTCAAGGGTTCAGTTTCCAACCATGGAGCCTCCTGCATGGAGTTTGCATGTTCTCCCTGTGTTCGCGTGGGTTTCCTCCTACACTTCAACGACATTCTGGTAGGTTAATTGGCTCCTGTCTAAATTGTCCTAGTTTCATCCCTGGCCATGCAGGATCTCCTGCATGGTAGGGGTTGGGGAAAGACCTGGCAACCTACCCTGTAAAAATAATTGCTAAGAGAATTCATGGAAAAAGTTGCTTACGAGTGACGGTCCATACAATCGCCAAGGGTCGGATACGACTGAATGGATAGATAGAGAGAGAATGCAGCTAGAAATGGCTGAGCACCTAGGTATGAATTCAGTCATTGTAAAGCAATTTCTGCTTCCAGATGTGTTTAGAAACTGGCTCTAACCGCCTTTGAAAACACATGTTTTAATGGTAAGGCCTCATGCACAGGGGACCTTATAAAAACGCCAGTAGCATTAGCTGTAGAATGTTGGAATAAAAACATGAGTTTTTTCGCAGTTTTTAGCTTTTTTTGCATTAGCTTTTTTCCTGTTTTTTTTAGCGTTTTTCAGCGCTTGCATTTCTTAGCAGTTATACTCTCACAAATTCTTCAGGCTCAAAAACGCTCATAAACGCCAGATAGCTGCGGTTTTTAGCTTTTTTTGGTGTTTTTCAGCTTTTACCAGCGTCAGCGCATTTTTACAGCTAAAACTCCTAAAACTCCTCTTGAAACCCACTAGTTCTGGAGGTTTTTTCCAGCCAGAAAATGCTCCAGCCAAAAACACTGATTAAAGCCTATATGTGTATGAACACATAGGATAACATGCTGGGGTGTTTACTGGCTATAGAAAAAAAAAAAAACGTCAGAAGCCAGAAACAGCAGCTGTGAAAATGTCCAGTGTGCATGAGGAATTCATGTGCATGGGGCCTAGGGGTCTCAAGCACCCAGAGAATGGGACAGTGATATGTACAATTCACTCACCTCTGGAGGTTGCCAGTTCTCCAGCACTCTGTCAGAATCCATGTGCTTCCGAAACTCCACATGCTGCATAAGAAATTCAATTAGTTCAATGTAAAGAATTATTGGTATGCAAGCACCATATGAATTATAACAGTATAAATACAGCAAACATTCAACTCTCTCAAGCAATGTTTACATCTTAAAATATTTTTTTTTGCCACTGATGTTACAAGATAACAGATGTAAATAGCCACCACTGAATCCAGTTAGGAATTCATTACATTTTTTTTTTACAAAGAACTTTCCAAAGGTAAAAGTCCCCAAATCTTTCCTAATAGCCAACTCCCCTGCATGGCAGAACTCAGGAAATTGTGATAGGAAAGGGCAAAACTCCGAGATAGTAAGGCTCTACTGCATTGTATAAAGCTGTCCTTCTAACTGTGGGAGCTTCCTTACAGGAAGAGAGGGCAGACTGATGATGTCATCATCATCATCATCATTGTCATCATCATCATCATCATTGCTGTTCTTTCAGCATTCAATCACACACTGGGACAACGCCAAGTTGTATTTCTCAGCTGAAAGTCTGTGGGGGTCATCCATGCATCCACCTGCAAACAGTTCCATTCATGTCTATTGGGACACATCAGCTGCAAAGACAACTGCTGGTCCCAATTTGACAGCCAAGTGGGTGCTTATTTGTGAACGCAGAGAGTGTGCATTCAGGGACATGTATTGCTGTCATATTGGGACCATCCATGTAGCCACTGCATCCCAGTAGACATGAATAGGACTGCTTGCACATGGATGTATGGAACACTTATAAATGCGAAATGCCCGTTAAAAGGACAAAGAGGTATGCAGCTCTGTCATTTTTTTTTCATGTTTTTTTACACTGTTTGCACTACTTTTTTGGGCCTTGCTGCAATTATTTGAAAATTTATGGCCAACATAAACCATCGTTTGAGTCTACAACGGCCTGTTTTCATGCAAAAGTTACGGTTACAGGTTGACGTTATCAATTTTGCAAGTTTACATTCCTCACCTTTCGGAGCATACTCTCTGATTTCTGCAGGTTAAAGCATCGGGCTGGGAGATGGGAGAGAGAAGAGAGAGAGATTAGAGAGAGATTATAGAGATATTACATTACAGACATATAATCCATAATCCTTAACCCATCTATTGCCAAAAGGTCCTGTAACACAAGGAAGCAGATAATATATTGCAAACCCCTGAGACAGCAAAATACTTTCAAAAAGTAAATATTATAGCAATAATGGTAAATACATATAGTTAGAGGTGATCTGCAAATAGTGCAGTTGCTCTTTGGCCCTACAAAGTGCACTGGGAACAAAAGTGAACACTGGAAAGCTAACCAACGGAGGTTCTAGATAACATGATGTTACCATCGTTGCAGCAAAGTCAGTTATTTATGCACCAGGGCCTTTAATCTTTAAATTACATCTGAATATCAGGGCCCGATTTTTGCATTCTTTTGAGCATGAATTCAAGACAGCCTTCTTACACTAGGCTCCTAGGAGCCAGTTATTGTGGTGCAAGATATGCATCATACAGAATATGAATCCGAACCATACATACATAAATTGCGTGAAGCTTGTTGAAGCTGCCCAAAAAGCAGCAGGCAACATTGGGCAATGAACGCACATAGGGAAGCCCATTGAAGTGATTGTGACACATATCGCAAGAAAAACACCCACAGGAAATTGCGATCGGGAACGCGGGTTCCGGCTACGTGAAGTGTGAATGGGGCCTAAAGGTTGACACCATATCTTGTTCAAGCTTCATTCAGGGTCAGAAACTTACATCCTAGACTGAGATGCTGGCTTAGATACACAAAGTCACTTAACTTGTGACTTGTAATGTTGCAGTCTGACCATTGGTTAAGAGGAGACGGAGGAAATTCTTCTTCTTGCCTGCAACAGACTAATAATGGCACCTTATTGGGGAACAATTGGGGAACTGGAGAAAAGTACAGAGAAGGGCAACCAAACTGATATGAGGCATGGAGGAGATCAGCTATGAGGAAAGATTAGAGGAACTGAATTTATTCTCTCTTGAGAAGAGGAGATTAAGGGGGGATATGATCAACATGTATAAATACATCAGTGGGTCATATAGTGAACTCGGTGTAGAGCTATTCACCCTGAGGTCATCACAGAGGACAAGGGGGCACTCTTTATGTCTGGAGGAAAAGAAATTTAATCTCCAAACACTGAAAGGTTTCTTCACAGTGAGAGCTGTGAAAATGTGGAATAGACTCCCTCAAGAGTTGGTTCTGGCCAGCTCAGTGGATTGCTTTAAAAAAGGCCTGGATTGTTTCTTAGATACACAGAATATAACTGGATACCAACATTTATATGTAAAGTTGATCCAGGGAATATCTGATTGCCTCTCAGGGGGGGATCAGGAAGGAATTTTTTTCCCAGCAGGAGAAAATTGGATCATGCTTTGCTGGGGGTTTTTTTTTGCCTTCCTCTGGATCAACTGTGGGTATAGGATTATAACTTTGTTTTTTTTTTCTATGGTTGAACTGGATGGACTTTTGTCTTTTTTCAGCCAGACTAACTATGTAACCCTGGCCAGGGCAAAGTGAGTTCAAAAGATGGCTTTTAAGGATAAAAGGCAAAGCTTATTTGGAAAATGAAAACATTGCTGTATATTGTGACAAGTGAGAAATGTATTCAGCAGACATGTACAGTTATTGAATGGTCTACTTAGCTTACAATTTCCAATCCTTTTGTAGAAGAAAAAAACAACAAAAGTAATAACTCTTGGCCCAAAATGCAAAATGTTAACCAAGTTCTCAAGGCACATCTAACACCTCAAAAAATAAAGCAAAATTATGTGATCATGATAGCCTTTTCCAGCTATAAAACACTCAGGCCTTTTTTCACATGGGCAGCAATAAAAGCTGGCATTTGAGCCATGGTTTTTCCTCCCTCCACGACCGCCCAGCTAAAGCCTATAATGCAACTGGAGGGAGCTGTTTACATGTCATGCTCGGAATGCTTTACGTTGCAGAAAATGTAACGTGACGTGTTAAGTTGACAGGTGGCACCATCTGTCCAACTTGCCTCTTCAGTCAGTGGGGCTGCTCTGCTAATTCGAGCCAAGTGGTTGGCTCTCGGTTGAGGCACATTAGTCCCAATGTAAATTGCCATTCAGAAAATAAAGAAATTGTGAAATAAAGAGTGACAACAATTAACGTTCTTGGGTCCTCCAAGGCCATGAACACGGCAGCAGTTTGCCTCCTTTGTGACTCCATTACCAATATAATCATTTATGTAATTTATAAAATATAGAAAAGAGGAATTTTTGCAAACTTTTATTTTCTTTAACCACTTCCCGACCGACCGGCCGGCCCCTGCAGGGTCGAGTGTCCTTTTATAAACGGCCTCCCCACCCCCTGCTTGTGCGCGCTCCCTGGGAGCACGCGCAGCACCGTGATACGATGCCCGCTGTGTCCTCTGGACACAGTGAAACACCAATCGTCGGACGAGACCTCTGTACGAGTCCCGATCATGTGATCACTGATTGGCCAATCAGTGTTATCACGTGCAAAGTAGTAAGCAAGATGTCACTTCTGACATCATTGCTTACTACGTGTGAAATCTATGAATGATCACAGAGGTCACATGGTATAAGGCTATTCACAACAGCCTTGTACCATGTGACAAGCTGTGACCAATCACAGCTCTCACAGTATTTCTCAATGGCTGCAGGAATGCAGACAGAGAGAAAGAGAAATGATTGCTTTTACATCCTTTATGGGTGTAAAAGCAATCAGTGTGAAAAAAAAAAAAATCTTCATCACCCCCCACAAGTAGTACAGTGTCACCATAGTGACACTGTACTGCAAGGGTGACAGTATGTAAAAAAATATATATAAAAAATAATATAAAAAAAAAATAAAAAAAATGTAAAAAAAAGTTTAAAAATTATAATTTTTGATTATAAACTAATTTGTCTTATTTTGTTTTTACTAAAAAGATAACGGAATACATTTTGGCCAAGATTTATGATGAAATATTATTTATTTGCAAAATTTTATAAGAAAAACTATTTTTTTCAAAATTTTTAGACATTTTCATTTACATAGCAAAAGAAAAAAAAATCCCAGCGGTGAATAAATACCACCAAAATAAAGTTTTATCTGTCTCAAAAAAAATGGTAAAAAATTCATATGGGTACAGTGTTGCATGACCGCGCAATTGTCATTCAAAGTGTGAAAGCGCTGAAAGCTAAAAAATTGCCCTGGTCAGGAAGGGGGTGAAAAAGTTTGGACTGGAAGTGGTTAAGTAAAGCAAAAGGTTTACATTTTATTACTCACACTGGTGGAAGATCTGCAATCCTAGTTTTGTTGACAGTGATAGTCTGCCTGTCAGGGGAAGTAGCTCTGTAGACCATTTGACAGATGAGCCCTGGATGTCATGCTTGGATGGTGAAATCTACCTGACACAGTTGCAGACAAGCATGTGAAACTAGCAGTGAATATTTTCCTTCCTCATTCTATGCTTTATCATTTAACCTTTTGTGTAGGTAGATAATTACTGATCATCAACACTACTAAATTACTGAGGAGTGCGTGAGTATTAGGATAAAGGTAGCAAGCATAGTTAAAGTGTTATTAAACCCACAACAGTAAAATCAGTCTGCATAAAGCAGTAGAGCATGCTTGTTATATCCACTAGGGCTGGGCAACTGTGGCCCTCCAGCTGTTGGTGAACTACAAGTCCCATCATGCCTCTGCCTTGGGGAGTCATGCTTGTAACTGTCAGTTTTGCAATGCCTCATGGGACTTGTAGTTCTACAACAGCTGGAGGGCAACAGTTGCCCACCCCTGCACTAGGGGGTTAATCCTGCACCTGGTATAAAAAGGATGTTTGATTCTGTCTTCTCTGCAGTCCCCAATCCATTCCGCAATAGAACAGAGCCTTGGGGGCAAGCTGCACATGCTCAGTTTGGTGTGTATTGCTAGATAGTTTTTTTTTACTTGGGAGAGTGCATGTGATCAGCACAGGGCCAATCAGCAATTTCCAGAAAGAGGGTCAGAGATCCTGCAGCCTCATAGGACAATCAGGGGAGAATGAAAACTCATCCTACAAGCTTTAACCAGTGCTCTGCTGAACACCAATAGAAGTCACCAGACCTCTCTAACTGCTGATAAGAAAAAGGTATTTAGCAGTTTATATTTACTAAAATAATTGCATTTACATATTGTGTGTACTGTGGGAGACAAGATATAGTGAATGCAGGGTCCTGGGTTTAGTAACACTTTAATTGCATGGTGTAACAGCAGAAGGTATATAATTTAGTATTGATGGGAAATATATTTACAATAAAAATAGAAGCACGTAGCTATGATTTACTGTGTACTTTACACTGGAAATGTCATGAAATACTGACTTAAAGGATCGCTGCATCACCAAACTGATAAGGTTAGGTATCATGTCTGAAATATTGATTTTACTTTACATACGTTAGCAACAAATGATCAATGAAAAACAGCAACCATTATCTGTGATAAAAAAAGGTTTTAATAAAATAACAAAACAAAGTTGGTATTATTTATAATAAAGCCATCATTGGCAATCTGAATGTGCTTTAATCATTAGTTGATTAGTACTTTGAAGTATTTGTATCAGTGAGCTTGTTTTCACTGACACTAGTCTAGGATCAGCGATTATCTCCATGTAATATAATCAATCTGATAGGCACATTTGTTATAATGGCAGATATTACTGCAATTATATAACTGCACAAGCTGTAATAGAAGGTCAGATGTGTGATACTGTAATGCCAGCTAGGTTATCATCTAAAGAGAAAATGCCTACATAAGGATGAAAAAAGGGCCAGCTTGCTCATATCTTCTTTATTATTATGCCAATATTTCAGGGAGCAAAGTACTAAGATGATAATTGATTTATACCCATCCAATAGCAATAAATGTATTTAAAAGATAAAGCAAAACTCTAGCAAATGTAAGCATTATTACCGTGCCGTACATGTTAAGATTTCTCTTCTTCTACCCATGAGGGAAACTCAGTCTATACCCCCATCCAGGAGAGATGGATGAATCTGCATGCCAACTATTGTATTCTGACAGCTGGAACCCGAGGACCACCGTCACCCATTCATGACAGAACAGCACCTTCATCCAATCAGATGCAGGCACTGTTCTGTCATGAATTTTCTGGCCAGCTTCAGGTGGTGACCACAAAGGCCACCCAGAAAACAATTTCAGCTGATTCACCACGAATTGGACAAAATTCAATCCATGTATGGCAAGCTTTAGTCACGACTCCCAACTCAGCCTGCCGATTGAACAATGAAGGTGCTACACAATACAGATCCCACTGCTCCCTCTCCGATAAGCAAGTTCTTGGTACTTAACTAACAGTATTAGGTACTTTGTAAAGAAAGGGACCTAAACTGCTGAAATTACATGCCCTCACTCTGACAGTCTGAGTACTGGAGAAAAGGGGGTTACAGGAAGAGAACATAAAGTTATATCCCAGTATTTATACTAGCTCTATTCATATTCACATAAAAAAAAAATTACCAGCTCACTGACCAGCCAGCCTGCAACAAAACCATAATGACCCTGTCTAGCTCTTCATGTTATAAACAAAGAGTTTAGTTTGCACACAGCTGCAGAGGCCGCATCAAGGCACCCCAGTATTCATAAACATACATGTGAATAAACAAATAAATACATGGTTAGTCTGGCTGAAAAAAGACAAAAGTCCATTCAGTCCAACCATGAAAAAAAAAAAAAAGAAGATACAGTGGGGCAAAAAAGTATTTAGTCATCCACCAATTGTGCAAGTTCTCCCACTTAAAAAGATGAGAGAGGCCTGTAATTAGCATCATAGGTAGACCTCAACTATGAGAGACAAAATGAGAAAAAAAATCCAGACAATCACATTGGCTGATTTGGAAAGAATTTATTTGCAAATTATGGTGGAAAATAAGTATTTGGTCACCTACAAACAAGCAAGATTTCTGGCTCTCACAGACCTGTACCTTCTTCTTTAAGAGGCTCCTCTGTCCTGCACTCATTACCTGTATCAATGGCACCTGTTTGCACTTGTTATCAGTATAAAAGAGACACCTGTCCACGACCTCACACAGTCACACTCCAAACTCCACTATGGTGAAGACCAAAGAGCTGTCGAAGGACACCAGAAAAAAAATTGTAGACCTGCACCAGGCTGGGAAGACTGAATCTGCAATAGGCAAGCAGCTTGGTGTGAACAAATCAACTGTGGGAGCAATAATTAGAAAATGGAAGACATACAAGACCACTGATAATCTCCCTCGATCTGGGGCTCCACGCAAGATCTCACCCCGTGGGGTCAAAATGATCACAAGAACGGTGAGCAAAAATCCCAGGACCACACGGGCGGACCTAGTGAATGACCTGTAGAGAGCTGGGACCAACGTAACAAAGGCTACCATGAGTAACACACTACGCCGCCAGGGACTCAGATCCTGCAGTGCCAGACGTGTCCCCCTGCTTAAGCCAGTACATGTCCGGGCCCATCTGAAGTTTGCTAGAGAGCATTTGGATGATCCAGAAGAGGATTGGGAGAATGTCATATGGTCAGATGAAACCAAAATAGAACTGTTTGGTAGAAACACAACTCGTCGTGTTTGGAGGAGAGAGAATGCTGAGTTGCATCCAAAGAACACCATACCTACTGTGAAGCATGGAGGTGGCAACATCATGCTTTGGGGCTGTTTCTCCACAAAGGGACCAGGACGACTGATCCATGTGCAGGACAGAATGAATGGGGCCATGTATCGTGAGATTTTGAGTGCAAACCTCCTTCCATCAGCAAGGGCATTGAAGATGAAACGTGGCTGGTCTTCCAACATGACAATGATCCCAAACAACAAAGCAACGAAGGAGTGGCTTCCTAAGAAGCATTTCAAGGTCCTGGAGTGGCCTAGCCAGTCTCCAGATCTCAACTCCACAGAAAACCTTTGGAGGGAGTTGAAAGTCCGTGTTGCCCAGCGACAGCCCCAAAACATCACTGCTCTAGAGGAGATCTGCATGGAGGATGGGCCAACATACCAGCAACAGTGTGTGCCAACCTTCTGAAGACTTACAGGAAACGTTTGACCTCTGTCATTGCCAACAAAGGATATATAACAACGTATTGAGATGAACTTTTGATATTGACCAAATACTTATTTTCCACCATAATTTGCAAATAAATTATTTTCAAATCAGCCAAAGTGATTGTCTGGATTTGTTTTCTCATTTTTTCTCTCATAGTTGAGGTCTACCTATGATGCCAATTACAGGCCTCTCTCATCTTTTTAAGTGGGAGAACTTGCACAATTGGTGGCTGACTAAATACTTTTTTGCCCCACTGTATAATCCTATACCCACAGTTGATCCAGAGGAAGGAAAAAAAAAAATCAGCAAAGCATGATTCAATTTGCTCCTGCAGGGAAAAAAATTCTTTCTGATCCCCCCCGAGAGGCAATCAGGTATTCCCTGGATCAACTTTACCTATAAATGTTAGTATCCAGTTATATTCTGTGTATCTAAGAAACAATCCAGGCCTTTTTTGAAGCAATCCACTGAGCTGGCCAGAACCAACTCTTGAGGGAGTCTATTCCACATTTTCACAGCTCTCCCTGTGAAGAAACCTTTCCGTGTTTGGAGATTAAATTTATTTTCCCCCAGACGTAAAGAGTGCCCCCTTGTCCTCTGTGATGACCTCAGGGTGAATAGCTCTACACCGAGTTCACTATATGAACCACTGATGTATTTATACATGTTGATCATATCCCCCCTTAATCTTCTCTTCTCAAGAGAGAATAAATTTAGTTCCTCTAATCTTTCCTCATAGCTGAGCTCCTCCATGCCTCTTATTAGTTTGGTTGCCCTTCTCTGTACTTTCTCCAGTTCCCCAATGTTCTTTTTGTGAATTGGTGCCCAAAACTGAACTGCATATTCCAGATGAGGTCTTACTAATGATTTGTACAGGGGTAATATGATATCTTTCTCTCTGGAGTCTATACCTCTTTTAATACAAGAGAGGATTTTGCTCGCTTTAGAAACCGCAGCTTGGCATTGCATACCATTATTAAGCTTGTGATCTACCAGAACTCCCAGATCCTTCACCATTGATTCCCCCAGTTGTACCCCCCTAGTATGTATGATGCATGCATATTCTTAACCCCCAAGTGCATAACCTTACATTTATCAATAATGCATCAATACATAACTAGATTATTATTTTTCATTAATATCTGCCTGGAGCTCTACTTGGAGAATCTTACCTCTGAGCCATCGTAGTAAAAAATGGTCATCTTGGGAGTATGGGGGGAGCTGAGGTAGAAGGTCCTTTACATTCTCACGGAACTGGAGAAAAGAAGTCACATTTATTAATCATTCTGAAGTGACTCACTGACCAAAGCTTAGAATGCATCCATTGTTACACAGAATATGTCCTCATATTTGATACAAAGAATTGATATGCTACAACACTTTATACCAGGATAAATTGACATGAGAAAACAGTGCAATGTATGTGATGTTAGTACAGCGTTCTCCCTGCTGAGGTATTGTGTTCTGACAGAGGGACTGCCAGAACACACTGGTTGGCGCTTACAGCTGTTGGCTGCCAGCACTGAACGAATGCTGGTTTTCATGCATGCTCGTTCGACAGAAGCTGGTTGTTTGGCTGGCTTCTGTCAGACAAGCTGGTGTATGCACTGGGCAAATGAAGGCCACTTTCTGTTGAACTGGCCAACACCGGCCGGTATTCAACTCGTGTGTAGGGGTCTTAGGCCAATTAAAAAAACCATACCTGACTACTTTTTATCCCCCTTGGAACACCTTAAAGGGTTCATTAGAAAACATTACATGATTTATTTTGTTCCCCCTTGAGACTATTTTTGTTGCCCCCTCCCCCTAACTTTCTAAATGGAGATTCCCAATCCTGCTGCCTTCGGTGGTTGCATTATACATCCACATCTGACTGCCTACACAGGTATATAGATTTTAACAGGTCTCCACCAACTGCATAGGCTAACTGGAAACACAATAGAGCTGCTTAGTTTGACCTTCAGTAACCCTATAATCTATGAGACATACTGATAAGAGATAGATTATAGCAAACAGAAACTCTCAGATGTGCTTGAAAGAAGTAGATGAAAAAAAATCTTACTATGAACATAATAAACATTTTATTGTTTTAACATTAATTAGGCCTAATAAATAGGCACTACAGTAAAAAACAACAAGACAACCTTTCCTGTACAAAGACACTGGTATCTTTTTGACAGAGAAGATCTGTCCTGACCGTAAAGGAGCAGTTCTAAACTGGTTTATGTAAAAAGAATATTTTTCAGTAGAACTAATTCAACTTGTTACAGTGATCAGATAAACTATGGTGACACTCAGGGGCGGACTGACAACTCATGGGGCCCCAGGGCAATAGGGGATCATGGGGCCCCTGTGTCCTTGCCCAAACTCAAAAAAGCCTATGACAAAAGGTACCAGGGGCATCTCATGGGGCCCCCTACTGACACCGGGCCCTCGGGCAGGGCCCGAGTTTCCAAATGGTCAGTCCGCCCCTGGTGACACTCACTGGCCCCTGACCATTGCCTTAACACTAAGGTGGTCTCCTGCCACCATGATCACTAGGCTCTGCTGCATGATGGGAAGTGCTCAACCAAAACTATATCACATATGTATGCCCTGAAAGAGACATGAGTGTTTTTCCATGATGTAGATTTGTTGTGTGCATATTTGTTGTGAGCAAGATGCTTTAGTGCCATGGGCATTTTTGAATGGTATTTGAATGTTATTTAAGGTGCAACATGTTCAGCATCCTCCCCCCCCCCTCCCCCCATGACAGCTGGCGAGGGATCTTTTCTCATCACCTACTTCCCAATCTGAAAACAGTGTGGCTGTGCAGGGCTCCACCTATATGGCTACGTCATTCATTCACAGTTTCCTGTGAATGAGTAGACTACAAGTACCATCGTCCATTGCTGCTGACAGCTTGTAGTTCTCAATGAATTGCGAGGGCACTGGTGAGCACTCTGCTAGTTCCTTGACCTTCCTGCTCTCAAGTAGTCTTACACAGCTATCCTGAGAGGTGCAGGAGCCTGACATTGCACTGTGATCTGTGATCGTAGGTGCAATGCTCTCCAGGCTCCTTGAAAAAAAAAATGCACATTTTTTTTTTACCTTAAAAAAAGTGCATTTATTATTTTTTTTTTAAAAGGTCAATGTATCCTTTTAGGCCTGTAATATCTAACAATTACAATATCTGCACCCTGTGAACCTATGCATTTTCCAGTTTGTACTATACAGGATGCCTACTTTTCCTCTCCTGGTGAGTCTCTCTTCTGATTTTTTAGTCCAAAGGAAATTTCTCAGCCTGAGGTATAAGTGCTAAGAAGTACTGCAGACAGACTTGATGGGCACTTCAGCCTTCTAGGTCTAACCCAAGAATAAAATATACAATGTAAGTGCTATGGCTGTGCTGGATGCAGCCATTGTTGCCACCACTCGTCACTGGTTGCTAGGACGCTGGTGGCTGGGCTGCACAGTGTATTTGGTTGCTAGAACACAGGAGGCCATGCCCCACAGCATCACTATTTATGTTGCAGGAAGCTGCCTGCATCATAACAATCCATGATGATGTGTGGCCCGTGGGCTGAACATTCACTGAGAAGAGAGTATCTGGTATGGAAACTTGACCCTCAGTGCTGCCCACTCACCGTACCTCCAGGAGTGCTGCCTAAGGCAGCCGCCTCAGTTGGCCTAATGAGCAGCATGGTCCTGGGAATAGTGAGTCTTTTTTTCAAACATACCAAGATGATAATTGAAAAACTCCCAAATAAATACAAGTGTCCATGGTGCTAACTGAGAAAATAGTAGAGAACATCCTAATGAAAAAGATTCAGAGGGCATTTTATCAAACAATTTGGAGTGTCTTTATGATTTTCAACTCTTGCCATTATAAAGAGAAATAATTGATTAGTTTCATTAACCAATGGGGTTGATTTAAAAAACAAACAGACTTTGCAGGGGAATTTTCCCCAGAGTTTAATGAATACGGTGAATCTTTGCTGATTTCCAGCATCCAATCATCTACAAGCAAACGTGCTGTTTTTTTTTATTTTCCTTAAATGTGATTGGGTAATTTTTGCAAAGTTGACCACATTCTCTAAGCTCTGGGGCAATTCAATTGCACAGTGCGACTTGCCATGCAAAGTGAACAGCTTATGTTCCTTAAATAAATAAACCCCAATATTTTACAGTTCTAGTATGCTGGTCAAATATCTGACATATAAGTTCTTCTTCCCCATCTTTAGGATTTCCTCCAACACTCCAATGTCAAGCACCAAGTTACTCCCTCCCTCTTAATCGTTCCAACGTGTACAACAGATTCAGATACTTCTTATTTGCATTACTTTTACAATATGTTGCTATGGCTGTGCCAAATTCAAAAAGAATTACCTCCAGGTTGTAAGTAACGAAACTGGATGTTATTAAGATCAACTCAAAGTTAGTGTACAGAGACTGGCCAGCGAGATGGGGGGGGGGTTTGTGTTAAATTTATTACTGTGTATTTGCTTCATTCACTGCTAGAAGATAGACTCCGGTGTGTCCAAGGCCAGCAATTACACAGGGCTGGCCTTGGACTGTGGGCAGAGCCTGCCCCATCAGGTCCAACAAACTTGTGATAGACAGTGAATGGCAGTGGATGAATCCCATAGCAGCTATTAGATTGAATGGCAACTATGGAATCTGCCCTCTGGCGTCCACTGTCAATCACAAGGCCTGATGGGGAACTAGGCTCTCAGAGTTCTCCATCAGGTCTGCCTCCCCTGTGACTGACCTCGTACAGCAGCGGGCTGATTCCATAGCCACTAGTCAGTCAAACAGCAGCTATGGAATCCACCCACTATGTTCTGCTGAAGGTCACAAGGGAGATGGACCTGGTGGGGGACCAGTCTCAAGAGTCCCACCCACCCTACAACAAAACTTCTTGGGTGCCGCACCTGATTGTGTGATGGGCGCAGTGACCAAGAGGGGGGGTAAACACTAGACCTGCGAGTTTATCAGGTTCAGCATTACTGAGCTGCTCTGAGCGCCTTCCAGCCTTAGGCTGCGTTCACACCTTTGCAACCAGGCATTTGCATTCTCGAGCAGAATCACCATGCATGTTCATGTACCATTTATTTTCAATTTCACCTAAACGTGGCGCGGTTCTGCCATCACTGTCAGGCAAAAAAAAAACCATGTTGGAATCGCAGCACACCACATTGCGCTAAGCTTGTTGTCCAAAAGAAGCTCCTGCTCCTTTTTGGGCAACCAGCTTTGCAAAGCCCAATTTATTGCGCGAGAACTGCGGCAGAATCACGCTACATTTAGGTTACATGGAAAATGAATGACACCCAAACACATGTGCTGTGTTTTCACAGCATTGCAGTGTGATTTAGATTTGTGCGTGAAACGCCAGATGTGAACGGAGCCTGAGTGCCGGCTGCCTCGTGCAACAAATTTATGCACCTCCTCCTGACATGAAATTGCTGCAAACGCCAATATTTGTGGCATGCACGTATACCTGAATTCTAAAGAGTGTCTGACATTCTTTATGAATTCCAGGAAATATCTTTTGTTAAAACAGAAACAAAGTGAAGGTGCCTGCTGTTAGATGATCTACCAGTCAAGTATACTCACCCATCCAATCTACCTTACCATCTCCATCGGAGCCCTCGCTCTGGTATGGGAGAGCTTGTGATCTTCCCCACGTGACAGTGCCCATGCCCATCACCAGGCTGAATCACTATCGGAAGACACCGGGGTTTGCCCTGAATAGGCAGGATAAAGGTAGGGAAGGGTGGAAACTTCTGTAACGTCTTAAATACTGCTTGTGTCCCCAGTGAGAAGGATTTTCTCCACATTGTCTTCTGTTTAATGCCATCACCTGGACAGGAAGTGAGTGGAAATCTCCATAACACCAACATCCTGCACACGTTTATGAAAACTTTCTAACCAAGATGGCAGGCAGCAGGGTACCATGGGATATGTAGTCCTTATAAATAGAAAATAAACAGCAGAGAGGAAGCTGCAAAGAATGCAGGGAATCCAGGAAGTTATGAAAAGAAATGGCCAGCAGACAGGCATAACTCACAACATGAAAGGAGAATTTTCAATGAAGTTCACATTGGATTGTAAAGTATACCTATTGTTTTATTGATATTATCATGCAAGTGTTATAAAATGAAAGTGTATGCTGTGACCATAGAACTCTTTTAAGTGTGGATTTCCAGTTCTAAAAATGTTTTATTCATTCTCAACAAAGTGTTCACTTATTCCTTAATTCAGGTCAGCTTGCTTGTCAGAGTTTTTGATGAAAGATGGGTGGTATGTGTCTAGGTCTCTTACTATCATCAAAAGCCACGTGACTAATGTCCTGGTATCAGGTGTATGATGGCACTAAGGTCATAAACACAGTGGCCTTAAGCAGTCAAGGTCTCTGCTTTGCCCTATGAACCTGATTAGATAAATGAGTTGCATTAACTACTGGATAACATCCAGCTTACCCATATCATATCTACAGTGGTGGCTTCATGATGGTTGTATCATGATTATAATGCATACAAACTGGGTCATAGACAAAAATAAAACACGATAAAGATTTAGGAAAAGTGTTAACCCTTTTCACGCTTTTGGTTTGACTGAGGAGGTTTGGCCCATATAAAATACAAGGCTAATGTTATGCTAGTATGACAAATTAACACGTTATACACAGCTACATTATTAGGAATACAACATACATGATTGAGAACAGTTTATTAGATCATTTCTTGATAGCTATTAAACATCACAATCAATATTACTGTGCCTACATCATTTCATTTGGTAATTCATGAAGAACAGCTTTCTCTATGGTCTGCCTGGGGGTGGGCTTGTAATGGAAAAATGTATTGTAGGTTGATCAGCATACAAAGAAGGGATTCATTAAATGTATGTCCTAAGGTAGATAGATAGATAGATAGATAGATAGATAGATAGATAGATAGATAGATGCAGCCCTGTACATTCAATTCAGGGCTATAGGTACTGCATTGGTCTTGATGAGGTCAGAGAACCTATGACTGGCAGAGCATAGTAGAGAAGAGACCGGTCTTATAGCCTGGAGCAGGAGCGGACTAACCATTTGGAAACTCGGGCACTGCCCGAGGGCCCAGGGTCAGTAGGGGGCCCCATGAGATGCCCCTGGTACCTTTTTCATAGGCTTTTTTGAGTTTGGGCAAGGACACAGGGGCCCCATGATCCCCTATTGCCCGGGGGCCCCATGAGTTGTCAGTCCGCCCCTGGCCTGGAGTGAGACTGCAAGACTGGAGGATCAGGTAAGCCAGACTACATTTAAAAGTGCAGAAGACCTTGCTGACCCTCTGAAAAGCATCTGCTTTAACTCTGTAAATGTAACCGTAGTGCTGCAACCATAGTCACAGTTAGAGGTGGTACTGCCCTACTACAGTAAGGTATATAGATTGTAAACAGATAGATAGATACTGTAAATGTCTAAATAGACAAGTAAAGAGATAGACAAATAAAATAGATAGATTAAATAAACTAAAATAGGTGCATTGTTCCTTTAAATACAAATTTCAAGAAAATACATTACAACTACTAAATAAATTCAATATAGTGACAATGACATTCAGTGACGAAACGTGTCGGGTGGAACCTTGGCCGTGACGTCATCATGCACACTGGTTCCGCTATTTGTATAAATTGTGGTTCTGCGATTTGTTTAAATAGGACAGTTAGCACAAAGGATAGATGATCGATAGCTAGATGGATAGATGTATAGATAGATAGATAGATAGATAGATAGATAGATAGATAGATAGATAGATGTTAGACAGATATTAAATAGACAGGTATAGAGATAGATAGATATTAAATAGACAGGTATAGAGATAGATAGATAGATAGATAGATGATAGATAGATAGATAGATAGATAGATAGGTATAGAGATAGATAGATAGATAGATAGATAGATAGATAGATAGATAGATAGATAGATAGATAGATAGATAGATAGATAGATAGATAGATAGATAGATAGGTATAGAGATAGATAGATAGATAGATAGATAGATAGATAGATAGATATAGATAGATAGATAGATAGATATTAAATAGACAGGTATAGAGATAGATAGATAGATAGATAGATAGATAGGTATAGAGATAGATAGATAGATAGATAGATAGATAGATAGATAGATAGATAGATAGATATTAAATAGACAGGTATAGAGATAGATAGATAGATAGATAGATAGATAGATAGATAGATAGATATTAAATAGACAGGTATAGAGATAGATAGATAGATAGATAGATAGATAGATAGATAGATATTAAATAGACAGGTATAGAGATAGATAGATAGATAGATAGATAGATAGATAGATAGATAGATAGATATTAAATAGACAGGTATAGAGATAGATAGATAGATAGGTAGGTATAGAGATAGATAGATAGATAGATAGATATTAAAAATAGACAGGTATAGAGAGATAGATAGATAGATAGATAGATAGATAGATAGATAGATAGATAGATATCTAAATAAGACAGGTAGTGCAAAATATAGATGATAGATAAATAGATAAGTGTCTAAATAGATAGGTACAGAGATAGATAGATAGATAGATAGATAGATAGATAGATAGATAGATAGATAGATATTAAATAGACAGGTATAGAGATAGATAGATAGATAGATAGATAGATAGATAGATAGATAGATAGATAGATATATTAAATAGACAGGTATAGAGATAGATAGATAGATAGATAGATAGATAGATAGATAGATAGATAGATAGATAGATAGATAGATAGATAGATAGATAGATAGACAGGTATGGTGATATATAGATGTCAGATGGATAGATGGACATTAAATAGACAGGTATGATGATATATAGATGTCAGATGGATGGATGGATGGATGGATGGACATTAAATAGACAGGTATGGTGATATATAGATGTCAGATGGATGGATGGATATTAAATAGACAGGTATGGTGATATATAGATGTCAGATGGATGGATGGATGGACATTAAATAGACAGGTATGGTGATATATAGATGTCACATGGATGGATGGACATTAAATAGACAGGTATGGTGATATATAGATGTCAGATGGATGGATGGATATTAAATAGACAGGTATGGTGATATATAGATGTCAGATGGATGGATATTAAATAGACAGGTATGGTGATATATAGATGTCAGATGGATGGATGGACATTAAATAGACAGGTATGGTGATATATAGATGTCAGATGGATGGATGGACATTAAATAGACAGGTACTAGTCAGGATTCCCCCCGGTAGTGAAATGCGCAGTGTTGTTCTATGACACCTATATTGGATCTATAATGTGTCGGTCCAAGTAATAAAGCGCACTATTTCTATGATGTATCGGTGTGTACAGTTGTCTGGCAGTGGAAGGGTTAAGAAGCAATCTTGCACAGGGGATGTGTTGTGTTCATTCTTGTTATTATAAACTCCCAGGTGTCACACAATAGGGATTACTAACCACATCCCAGTGATCATCATACAGAATAATAACCCAGGTGTCCCAGGTGTAAGAGGATCTAGGGCTGGAGGACTAGTTGAGGGATCTGTGTATGAGAGGCAGGCTGGTGCCATGCAGGGCACAGAAGCTGTCATGGACAGTGAGTGAGGGGCCATCCAGATGAGTGGTAATAATGAGGAGGTGACTGGCTGTCAGTGCAGCCTAGCAGAGATCAGTGGACTGGCTGCACACATAGGTGTGCCAGTACTGGTGACAGAGGCAGGGGCTCACCTTGGCTAAGGCCTCTTCTTGTTTAGGACTGAGGTCCCCGACTCTTCCACTCATCGTGCTACCCGGCTCTGCTCTTTCCACCTGTCAGCTCGGCTCCTGTGTCTGTATTAGACGGGAGGGTGTGTCACTGTCACACTCAGCTCATCAGCTTCCCGTTATTATTATATCACAAGCCCTTGGCCCCGCCTCCCTCTAGCCGGCCCGCCCTTTTCTTCTTCTTAAAGGCACCGCAGGAACAGAAAGTGAGAGGCTCTCTCGTGTCCCTCGGTGCTGCTGGTCTGCCTGATTTGTGACAGTCAATGAATTCGGTGGCCAGTGCATTGGGAGTTTCAGATTGGTCTCATGGTGGCCATACACACTTCAATGATCTGATCTGTGTGTGATTTGATCTAAAACAACTGAATCTGAACAATCAGACTCCATTTAGCCTGGATTCTATAAAACAGTCGATCAGCCATGGTGAAAAATGATCAGTCAGTTCTTCATGGATATGATTGTATTTTGATTGATCAAGTTATGGGATTACATGGAGGCAGGGCTTTTTTTCCTCAGAGAACAGGTGCAGGAGCTCCCCCTTGTCTCTGCCCCGTACCCTCCTTGATTCCACCCCATACCCACCTCCCAGTAACACCCCTTATAGAGAATACACAACCAAGTACCATTTTGTGGGGCTAATATGGAATTTGTTAATAACAGATCCCCAACAGCGAGCAACAATACACCCCCTTTCAACAATAGATTCCCCAGCAACATTAGCCCCCCTCTGCAACAAAATACCCCCCTCAGCAACAACAGACCCCACCAATAACAGTAGATCTACCAGCATCCACAGACCCCCTCCCTCAACAGTAGAACCCTGCCGACAATTGACCCCCTCAGCAACAATAGACCCTCCAGCACACCTCAGCAACCCTTGCCATTACATACATTCAATGCTGGAGGTGCGTTCCTCCGTTTTCCCTTAGAAAGCTCTACATAGAGGAAACAGAGATGTGACCGATCGTACAATCGTAAATTCCCCGTAAGAGGTATATCAAATCAGATGTTGACTATATATCGTTTAGTCGTTTTGGGAAAGATTGGAAAAGAAATCAATCATTTATTGAAGTGTGCATGGCCACCATAAGGTGGGTGTACTTAACCATAAATATATGCAGCCTCTCAGTGAGCAGGCCATTATACCAAGTGACCACATATATGCTGCCCTGTGTAAACAACTTACCGCGCTGACAGCGCTCTCCCTGCACACTCCCTGCACACTCCTGCACGCTGCCAGCACGCTCCCTGCACACTCCCAGCATGCTCCCTGCACACTCCCAGCAGCACGCTCCCAGCACGCTCCCTGCACGCTCCCAGCACACTCCCTGCATGCTCCCAGCATAGTAACCAGCAGTGATCAGTAAGCTCCTGATCCATACTTGAGATCAGGAGCGTTCCGATCATGTGACAGCCAGTCACATGACCTGAATGCCTGCCTCCACCTCCTGGCTTTTAGGACTCTTAAAGGGCCCGGAAGTGGTCAGCGGGAAGGGGTTGAGTGTACACTGGTGTGAGGGCGCGTTTTGCCTGCACAGGATGTACACGTGTTCCATGCATCCACATGGAGGCAGTCCCATTCAAGTCAACTGGGACATAACCTCTGCTCCCAATTTGACAACTGTGTGGGTGCAGGTGTATGCAGATATGGGTCCCTGAACACATAGGGCTTTATTTACTAAAGCTGGAGAGTCCAAAATCAGACTCCCTTCTGCATAGAAACCAATCAGCTTCTAACCTCAGCTTGTTCAATGAAGCTTTGGCAATGAAACCTGGAAGCTGATTGGTTTCTATGAAGAAGGGAGTCTGATTTTGGACTCTCCAGCTTTAGTAAATAAACCCCCATACTGTCTGCATTGAGGAACCTGCAGCAACACAGCTGTCAAATTGAGAGCAGCAGCTGTGTCCATGCAGCTTCTCATATGGAACACCGGTGCATCCTGCGCAGACAAAACACGGCCCTCACACAGATATATGATGGGTGGTTGGGGTAAACAGACTCCGCTATCCTCCAATCTGATCCATCTAGACAGAAAGGGATGTATCCCCCTTCCTTTTTTCGGAGGTAGGCAAGTGTAAATGGACACACATTGTACAATCAGATTATATGGTATATGACCAGCTTTAGACTTGACTGTCACGAACTGTTGGTGTTGATCATTCCATTAAATGCTGCTTATGTTTTTCAGAAATGTTCTCACATAAACCCATATGTGTAAATACAAACATAAAGGGCTGGTTCACACTGGATGCGACTTGGCATGCGATTTGCATGCTCTATGACCTGCAAATTGCATGCCAAGTCGCACCCTATTGTCCGCTATTAGATCGGTCATATCGGTTCGGTTCCGACTTGGTCGGAGCTGCACCGATTTCAAAAGTAGTACATGTACTACTTTTGTTGCAATTTGCATAGACATCTGTGCAGGGTGGATTTGATTTAAATCAAACTGATTTAAATCACGATTTAAATCACTAGTCAGTAAGGCTTGATTTAAATAATAGTTTTCTACATAAAGACTAATTCTTGCTGGTATAACTTTAATATGCAAGTAAATGAAGATTTTTAGAATAACAACTTTTCATATTAGTTTTTTTTATCCCCAGTTTAATAGGTTAATCATTCATATTTGGACAACTTTTCTGTTGTACTTAGGAAGGAGAAAAATAATCATTACCTTAATAATAACAATTTAAATAGATTTATTCAACTGAAACAATAACATTCCAGCATATGTTATTTGCTTAAACATCCATGTTTGTTAACTAATTTGGCTAAACAAAATATATATATTTTAAGAAACTTAGACTGTCAGCCCCTTCCTCCTCACACTTAGTTTCACTTTCTTCTTGTGCAGATCTATTCCACTCCAAACAATCAGAAAAATATTGTTTCTATTCTATTCACTGAACTTCTTGAAATTTAGCACTGAAGGGGTTGATTCTGTATTCATAGGTTTGTAGAAGTTAGGATTAAGGTCTTTTTCTTAACTCTGTTCATGTTATAACATTTTCGCTGTGAAGAAGAGGCATGTGATCTCCGCTGAGTCAAATTCAGTTTTGAGAACTGCAAAAGTAAACCAAGCATCTGTGATAATATCTTGTAGGCAGAGAAACTGCCCAATAATCTTACAAAAACCCTCTGGAAGAGCATGACCTTGTGAATGGATTAATGGAATTTATTTACCAAAACAATTAAATATATACAGCTTATTCTACATAATTAAAAAACAAATCTTTATTTTCATGATGGAATAACCTTTGGATGGTAATATATTTTCCTCAAAAAGCATTTTATTTAAAAAAAATCCGGTTTAAATAAAAAAAATCAGATTTAAATAAAAAAATCAGATTTTTTAAAAAAATTTTTTTAAATCATTGATTTTTATCCACCCTGCATCTGTGGCAGATGTCTTGCAAATCACAAGGAAATCGGCATCTCACCTGATTTTGAAATCGTACCACTTCACTGTAAGTCGCACGATTTCAAAAATCGGATTTGATGTGAACGGAGCCTTAGGGTTGGTTCACACCATAGAAACGCAGTCCAGATGCGTTCCAAATGTGTTTCGGCATGCGCATTTTGACTTTTTGGCGCGTTCCAATGCGTTTTTGATGCGTTCCAGTTAATTTCTTCCCCTCTCTTTTTCTTCAATTTAAATAGAGGTATGTGCGTTCCAATGCATTTTGGTGCGTTGAAGGTAAAAAACCTTCTGTGTACAGCTCCCCCCACAGCACCCCCAATACTTACCTGAGCCCGATCTCGATCCAGCGATGTGCACGGGAGCAATGGCTCTTTCCTCATTAGCTGAGACACAGTAACGTGAGCCATTGGCTCCCATTGCTGTCAATCACAGCAGATTTGAGCCATGCATGAGTGCCCCCATAGCAAGCGGTTTGCTATAGGGGCACTCAGCAGGGCGGAGGGGCCAGGAGCTCCAGTTGGTGACCCGAGAAGAAGAGGACCGGGGCTAGTCTGTGCAAAAACCATTAGCTGGTGCGCTTATCAGTGTATTCTGACAGCAGAGGAGTCCTACTGTCACAATACAATAGCACACCAGGGAATATTCCCCCATCTACTTTGCATGTGTGGATGGGGGAATCCATTGTTTTTTTTTTCTTTTAGCAGCCTGCTGTTTGATTTAAAAAAAAGATCCATCTATGGCCAGTTTACAGGAATTTTCACACTGATGCGAGTGGTTTTCCTACAGGGCAGTGTACCCACAGTTTTAGATTTCTAATAGATCGAGCAGTTTTGGTGTGTTTTCTGAAAGCCTGCATGCAGGAAATTTGGTATTTTCAGAAAATGCTGTGGGAAAGCTGCAACACATCAGTGTGAAAGCTGTAAACCTTTTTTACTTTTTTTAAGCAATACTGATTTTGATATGTCATTACTTATGTCATCCATTTACGTCATTACTCAATTCTGTGGGAACATGTACCCTGTATCCTTGTACTCTTTTCTTAAAGTTCAATAAAGAAAAACTGAAAGAGAAAAGAAATGTTTATCCTTTCTATATCTGCAGCTATCATTAAATGAGTACCTGGTAATTTTGATATGAAGATCCTTATTCAGGTGCTAATACTCTTTTCTTGTCTCCCAATTGCCCTCCGGCATTGCTAACCAGTCACATTTTCTTCTGGTGGAGACTATAGGTGCCATTGCCAAGGTCCACCGTTGTCACCATCAGAAAGCCAGTCCTAAGCATTGACATTGCCACTGCTGCAATGCATGCTTTTAGACAGGAAGTGGTTGCAAAAAAGAATGGAGGAGGGCAACAGGACTGAGATGAAACATATGAAGAATAAGAGTAAAAATAATATTTTATAGAAAAATGGCAATTTTTTATGGCACGCGGTGCCCAGATCAAGGTTCACATCTTCTTAGGGATTATGCCTCACTTCAGAAGAGTCATAGGAAGGCAAACGAATGCATTCCTATCAATTCAAATGTAAGTGCAGCGCTAAAGTATAAGTGACAAATGCAATCATAAAGTGCTTATGTGAATAGAAGTGTT